TTTTCAGCAATTAGTGTAGCATTTTTATTTTGCAACAAAACAGTAAATGCAGTAACAAACCGCGAAGAAGTAACAAAGCAAGGTCTCTGCAAAATACTCCGGAGAACACTCCGTCTTCGGGGAAGTCTCTTATTAGTACTCTTCAATTTCAATTTCAATCTCATTATCACTCAAGTAGGTGGAGTGGGGGTGGGCGCTTATTTGAGTTTGATTGGGAGGGAGAGGGGGTGGAGTGGGCGCTTATTCGAGGCTGGGCGCTTATTAACTTTTTCTGGCTTTAGGATGAGCGCCTATTCGAGGAAGGCGCTAATTTGAGGTTGGGTGCCTATTCGAGTAAATACGGTATTTCCGGTCGTTATTTTTCGGGTGGAGAGCAGAGACGATCGGAAATACGCAGGCTAGTTGCCTGAGGAAAAAATGGCCAGGAGAAAAAAACTTCCTCTGAGAGGGCATGAGCTTACTGGCAACGAATTGTCTGCACGAAAAAAAGGGCAATGACGAGTACCCGGTGTACAGCCGCCCCCTTCCCTCAAGTGTGCGGTCGAAATGTCGCGATCAATATCAAAGGGACAATCGTGAGACGAACGATGAAACTAAACCCTTTATAACACATTATCCTCGATGACAAGAAAGGATAAAGCTCAGCTGAGCTTTATCCTCTCTTGACGATGATTAATACCGCAAAATTCCTAAAATAAGCCCCTCCATGTATTAGCCCCTCCAAATATAAGCCCCCCCAAACCGGTAACGCAAAAAACCCTCCATTAAATCGCCCCTCCAAATATAAGCCCCCCGGGGGCTTGTACTTGGAAAATTGCCCTCAAATACAATGCAAAAACGGTAAATTTACTTTCAACTATAAGACTAGCCCAATCGATTTTGAAACACAAATTTCCCTCCGTAGATAAGTCCCTCCGAATATAAGCCCCTCCAAAAATAAGCCCCCCAAAAAGGGTCTTTGAAAAATATAAGCCCCGGGGCTTATTTTCGGAATTTTACGGTATCTTTCATTATATTGACTTTTTCAAACTGTGTAATTTAAAGCAACTGAAGGTCTCTACTGAACTGTTAATCACTGCAATTGATGTAAATTATCATTTTACCCCTAAAAACAGTTTTTTTGCACATTATAACGCGAAATATAGTGACCCAGCGCCCCAAAGGGGGACTGCAAACTAGACCTTTAAAGGCTTTTGCCTTAAAAACTAACCGTATGACCCCATCTGAAAATTTCAGGATTTATTTAGTACTTAGAAATAATTGTGTTTAGAGAGAGAGAAAGAAATCCTATAGACAGTATTTTTGCAAAAGCCAAAAGTGTGGAATATTATCTCTTTTTATAATAACTAAAAAACTGTCCTTGGGATTTGTTAGAAAAAATGTTTACAGTTTCGTCTTTATGTTCCCTAACAATCATTAAAATTCGAACCCAGGTCGTACGGCTAGTTTTTTAAGAAAAAAGGAAAAACCCTTAAAGGTCTAGTTTCCAGTCCCCCGCTTTGGGTGCTCGGTCACTATATGCCGTGTTAACCTACCTAATAGAATGCTTTTAGAGGGTAAAATGATAATTTACATCAATTGTAGTGATTAACAGTTTAGTAGAGGCCTTTAGTTGCTAAAAATGTTCCAATTTTGAAAAAGTCAATAGTTTCATCCACCTTGAGCGATCAAATACAGGTTACTAGGCAGAACTTAAATGTCTTAGGGTGGCTTGCAGGCCCAGTGGTGAGAGGCGTAGCTGTTAGACTCGAGAAGCACACTCATAGTCAAGCGAGCCTGCATGCACATGTGTGCGTTTTTCTGTTGCGTGTTTTGGTAGATGGACAATGAAAAAAGAAAAACTGCAGTGTACTAGTAGTAGCATAATAATAATGAGAAGAAGAATAAGAATAATAATGGTGATGATGATGATGTTGATAATAAAAGTAATAATAACTTATCATTACCATCATAATAATTTATAAATCAAGTTTTATGGGGTAAAGATTAAACCAAAAACCTGGCTCGCAAAAAAGATAGAATTTTTCCGGAAAAAGAGATTTTGATTTTTATGGAGACAGCTTGCTTGCCGGTTATATACAAATGCATCAGTACTTGTAAAAATTGTCAAAGAGACTCACACATGTACCGGTACAAAGAAGGTATTTTTATTTTAATTGCAATTCATCAAAACAATTTGACATATCATATTTAACAACTACTCCTCTAATATTTTTTACGCTTCAATTAAGATTTACAAAAAAAGAAATAAACATCTATTTGTTCAAATCCAAAAAATTAATAATAATTTTAGTTAATATAATAATAATGATATCATTAGGCTTCTAACTGGAAAAAATTCTGAAAGTGAATAGGTTATTCTAAAGGTAAATTTTTCTGGAAACTTGACCTCTCTCACAAATTTAATATACAGTACCATCACCATCTCATGATGAATAAATTATAAGGAAAAACTTTCAGTACTTGAGTTTGCTTTGAGATTTGATCACACAAGATTACTTTTTTGTAACTTTTCAGAACTGTGTGGTGTCCTAGCAGTCTATCACTGCAAATACAGGTTGACCTACTTAGGCTAGGAAGCTACCTACTACCTGCCAACCTACTCACATGACCTGTAGAGAGTTTTGATAAGAGATCGTTCATTTCTTATGGGGAAGGCGCGGCTGGTGGAAGTTAACAGGTAGCTCCTGTAGTACATGAAGACCCCCCTTTTTATAACAAATTTTTTTGGGTGGCTCCCCCTTGTATCCCAAAATCAAATTAATTGTGATACCCGTACGCCCCCCAGCAAAATAAAACGAGTGACAAAGGATGAAGAAAACTGAAATAAGTAACAAAACGCAAATCAAATAGACTTTCTGAATGGCCATAAGCAGGGAATTATGGATATTGTCTGTATAAACTGACGATGCAAAGGAGACTAATTCTAAAAAAATGAGAACTGGGGGGGAAATTTTGGGAGCTTCAAAAAGTAGCAAACGTTATTGTTGTACAAAATAATTACTGCATTAGATGGTATACCAAGTGAGGACAACCATGTTGTTTTTAATAGGTTTGTTCATATGAGGGCGGGCAAATTTTGCATTTTGGTTGGGTAGAATTGTTTCTTGGTACATAATAAAGTAGGGGATCCGTGGGCATGCTTCCCTGGGAAACTATGATCTTTCTGCATGTCAGAAATGCTGGTTTTTGGCATTCTGGCAGGCCGTTTGCATTACTACGGATGCCATCACTGCAAACTTGAAGGAATGTTTTTGGTGACCCCCCTTTACACCCAATATTTTTCTTCTGACCCCCCTTTAAAGCCAATTATTTTTTTCATGGTTCCCCCTCAAATCCCACCAGCTGCCCCTAAAAAAAATGAACGGTCCCTAAAGACTGGATAATATCATTGTAAAATGTTAGTCCAGGGCTAAAAATAATTTTTGGACGGTGGCCTAACATGATGACCACCCTAAGAAATTTTTGCTCAGTCAAGTCTCATTTCTGACTGGTCAAAGTCAGGCCATAGCTAGGTTTTTTGTAACGGGGGGACATGTAGAAGGCACAAGCCTCGTAAAGGGGTCTGGGGGTATCCTCCCCAGGAAAATTTTCAAATTTGGAGGCTTTGAAATGCTATTTTGAGCACTTGTCATGAGATATGTTGCATTTTGAAAAACGCAGTAACTGTGATTGTAGTTTTACAGAGAGACAAAACCTAAGATTCACACATGAGGATTTGGCTATTTTTCCCAAGAATGAGAGTGCATTCATGACAGGTCAACATGACCAGGGTAAGAAGCCATTTGGCTGCTTAAGTTGCCATTATGGCCAGACATTGTCCATTGACTGGCCATTGCGTTGAGCCCTGTAATCATGTAGGGATAAAAGAAAAACCCTAGCTATACCTATAATATGCTTTTGGCTTGTCACTTATGTGACAAACTAAATTGGGACAATTGCAGAGGAGGCAGAAAACTGTTGCCACCAACCAAAACTGATATTGCCCATAAGTATGTTATGTATGTAATTTCACTCACTGTAAAATTACAAGAATCAAGTCAAGTTTGAGCAATTGTGGTGAATACAAAATGTTCAGTTCCAATCTGTTAATGTCACCATATACCTATTTAAAAGACGGAATCAGCGAATCAATGCTCTAACCACTAAGCTATAGGAAACTCTAGTGGTGAGCAAAATCATTTTGAAGTTAGACTGTGATATATATTTATCTATTAAATTTCGATTTCCACAGCACAAGTGTACTTGCTGGCCTTCCATGCAGACGTTCTTAGAGATTTGTCACACACTCCTTCGTTCCTACATTCAAGGGGGAAGGAATGCATGTCAAAGCCCTAAGATCATCTGCATAGAATGCTACGTATCTGCTGGGCTAATTTTCACTATGTCCGACAGATCGGCAGACTGAAATCCCCAAAATAGTTAAGCTCAAATAGAGTTGCAACTGTAATGAAAGCAAAGTAAAGAATAAGAAGTATCATTCCAAGACACTTATTTAAATACCATTTGTTTAAAACTACAAACAGTAAGGTAACAAAGACGGTACCAAATAGAGAAATTGATGTGTAAATGATGCTTCCACTTAAAACCACTACATAGCCTCCGGTGTCAACTGCTGTGGTCCTTAGAAGCCAAGGAAGTCCTAGACATAATAAGATGTCAAATACGTTGCTTCCAATTGTGTTTGAGACAGCCATGTCCCCGTCTCCTTGACGAGCAACAATCAGGCTTGATATCCCATCTGGGACACTAGTCCCTGCTGCAAGAAAAGTAAGCCCCATTATGACATCATCGATGCCAAGCGTGAAGCCGATTATTTCAACCATCCAGACCAGGACGTATGAGAGAAGCGCAATCCATACCACAGATACAAAAAACGAAACAAGGTACCACTTCTCCCATCTTTCTTTACGGCAGTCAGGAATTGTCACATAAAAAAGACAAGTGAGAGGTAATGCTACAATCCAAAGGGATCGAGAAATTAGACCTTCAGGTACTGAAAATGGTGAATCCTCATCTTTGTCAATAATTTGTACTTCTTCTTCTTGATAAGTCCCTGAAGGGTTTGAGCTTTCTTCATCTTCATTTCTAAGGAGTGACTTTCCTTCCTCATCATTTGAGCTATTTTTAGGCAAGTCCTTGTCTCCCTCTTCAAATCCTGTTAATCTCTGAAAACAACCCTCAAGGGATTGGTTGAAGTACATGATCACAACATATAATAAGTACATGCAAACCAGCACTAATGACTCGTACCAGAACACGTTTTTGTCGTAAGTAATGGCGATCAAAGCAACAATACTCAACAAGTAACACAACGAGTCACGCAGCAGCGGCCACCGGGACAGACGCAGCGTGGAGCCAGCGAACAAACCACAAATGGCCACGATAAAAAGTATATTGAACACTGCAGATCCTACTATAGTACCAAGGCCGATGTCACTTTTTGTTATAAAAACTCCGATAACAGAAGTGAATAATTCAGGGGCAGAGCTACCAGCGGCCATGAAAGTGGCACCGGCGACATCGGAGTGCATATGTAACTTGTCGGTGATTTGCTCCAGAGAAGGAACGAAGTAGTCATCACAAACAATCGCTAAAGCAACGAACATGTAAAGCGCTAAGAGAAAGTGAATGACGACACCCCCTTGCTTTTGTCGCTGGTACTGAGTCATAAAGTCATCTGGAAATTCATCTATGGATGGCTTAACACAGTTTTTCGGAGAAGACGAGTCGGCAAGGGCCTTCATCAACGTCAGCACTTTTTGCAGCATGGTCGAGTTGTTCGTGTTGTTAGTTAGTTCCACTGACTTCCTCGTTCGACTGGAAACGACCACAGGGTTGTTTGTTCGTGGTGATTTCGGCGATATAGACTTGTAAAGAACAGTTGGGAAAATGAAACAAGCAAATAAAAACAGCAGAGCAAACCGGCAAAGAACCCTTCCCTCTCGTGCCATCTTGAGACGGGGGATGAAGGAAGTGATGTTCGAGAGGCTATAAAATGAGTCCTAGCCAGGGGTGGGTGGTGTGAAAATGTTCCGGTTTTCTCTGATGATTTCTGCCCAGTGTCGCGGTGCTTGCAGTGTATGAACTACCGTAAAATTCCGAAAATAAGCCCTCCATGTATAAGCCCCTCCAAATATAAGCCCCCCAAACTCTTAACGTAAAAAACCCTCCGTTAAATCGCCCCTCCAAATAGAAGCCCCCCCGGGGGGGTTGTGTACTTGGAAATTGCCCTCAAATACAAAGTAAAACAAAGCAACAACGGTAAATTTCCTTCCAACTATAAGGCTAGCCTGAATTTCATCCGATTACTTCGAGTAGTTATTACTCCCTCCATTGTTGAGAGGAGAAAACGACTCGAGGCAATCGGATGAATTTCAGGCTAACTATAAGGCTAGCCCAATCGATTTTGAAACGCAAATTTCCCTCCGTACATAAGCCCCTCCAAAAATAAGCCCCTCAAAAAGGGTCTTTGAAAAATATAAGCCCCGGGGCTTATTTTCGGAATTTTACGGTATTCTACTAGTTAAGGTTGTCGATACACTGAATCATTAAACTTTTTTGGACACGGACACCATGTTCAATAGATTGCTCCTTGAATTTGTTACCGGTCCGCAGGCTTTGAATCATTTTTCTTATACAAATATCCTCCCTTTTTTAAACCAAAACTTGGATGAAATTGGTAGGGAAAGGTTGAAAACAAAACACTAATTAGACAGTTAGGTATAGTTAATCCGCATAAAATCTAAAATAATCCTGAAAAGGATCTTTACCAATATTTCAAGTGTACACACAATTAGAAACCAGACCAAGACGGCAAAGGAAGCCTAAACTAGTTGAACAATTTCCCCTCAGAGATAAGACATCTGCTAAATTTAAAGTTTTGCAACTTAATTGCATGGAAATTATTGCATGGGAAAGATTATTTCTAACACATTTTAAACTGAAGAGGCCTTGCATGTTGTATAAAGTTTTAATGCACTATATCTGTATTAGTTAAGCATTAATGCCCACTCGTGTAAATTGTCACGACTCTAGCAAGATCAAGTAAATATGAATGATACGGTTTGGAGTGCAAATAAAGATTGATGATGATGATGATAATAACGATGATGAATACATTTGTTGCTCAGTACGAAGTACAAAATATGCGACATTTGCAGTACAAAAAAAATTGATTTCATGAAAAAATGTAATAAAAACCGGAATGTATCAATATTACTGGTAAGATGAGGTACTTGGGACATCTCCTAAAGAATCCAGATCTTGTCACGAGCAGAGAGAATCATATCTTGTAGGTGCTATGATGACATGATTAATTTAAATAGCCTTTTTTATTATTATTAACTCAGTGTAGTTTTACCTTTATGTAGTTAATGAAGTCAAAGTTTGTACCAGGCTGGACTTACAATGAGTACACTCAAAGTTAGGATGTTAGTTCGTTTTACAAGTGATCAATATAATTGTGCATTACGATTCTTCACATCGCTTTCTCGGCAACCGTGGCGGGGCTTGTATTCACCGTTTATTGCAGAAACAAGTTTAAGTTTTTAAAGGTGAAGAGAAGAAAACCTGCTTTATAGAACTGCACCGTAACATTTGTGGAAGGAGAAAGAACGCTTCCTTTGATGAACAGGGTCCGCGAATAAACAATTTAATTGAGTGATAGAAGCAGCAAGCAATGAGACACAGTTTAGTCAAGATTTCTTATATTGATTTCGATTTCGAGTGGATATGATCGAATATTGGATAAGACCACTTAAACTGATAGAAACTGAGTATTTAAAGCCGTTCAAAACCACTTAAACATAGATGAGGCATTTTTATCCCCCAAAATTTTTTCTTCAGGGTTGAAAGTCACTGATCCGTTAAATCAAAACCCTTTCGTTTTCAAAAAAAGGCTGAAAACTCCAGGTGACCTTTTAAGGGTAAAAATCCGTTAAATATTGTGTTTCGAAAAAAGACATCCATTTTCCGAAAATTCTAGTCTCCCGAACAGATTTTTCCGAAAATTGTCGTTCAGTTTCTTTTACTCGTTAAATTCCCTAGTTTTCAACTGACTTTGCCGAGGTGAATAATTGTGTTTGAAAAAGACATCCATTTTTAGATTTGCTTCAGTTTGTTTTAAGCCGCTATTTTTCTCCTGGTTATTTTTTAACTCTTTACGCCTTTAACGAGATTTTGCTGGTTGACCGCCTTTGAGCACATAGCATTGTTAAACGTATTTTTTAGTATTTAACGATCTGTTCGGATTTTGATCTGGTTGAAAACTTACCTCTTGACCGAACAGCAAAATGGGCACCTCTCAAATCGTCTTCCGAACAGATATTTTCCGAAAATTGTCGTTGGGTGCCCCTCGTGTCTCCGCACGTCACTTGAGGAATATCAAAAGCTAATGAATATCAGGATTAAAAGAATTGGTCTTGGTTGGCTATCCTAAGCTAGGCCCAAAGCTGCATGTTTTCTCCCACCTTACGAAACCACGACGGCAACCCGGGCAGCGAGAACGTCAAACAAGCAATTGATTTTATAATCAAAACAATAACTCTGCACGAACTCTACACCAGTCTGCACGCACATCACGCTTTTCTTTCCACTTTAATTGTCGTCTCTATACGACCGGACTACGACGTGAAAAAACCACATTTAAAGCTCTCTTGAGAACGTGAGTGGCCGAATTCATATTGAGACGGACTGGAAAAACGTCTTGAACGGGAATCTCGTCTACAGACGGAAAACTCGACCAATATGAATCCGATCGAGTTTCCCGTCACAAATTTATCGTTTTTCCGTCTAAAACGACGGCAAAATAAGACGTGAAACTCGTCTTAGACGGAAACATGTCTTAAATTCATACTAGACGCGATCACGACAACTCACGACGATGCACAATTGCACAATTGGAAAAATACTGCAACTAGAAAGAAGACAATTACAGCAAAGGGTAGGGTTCTTCAGGTTTTGAAAAAATATTTTGGCGCCCAAGGTCATAAATAAACGCCCACTGTAGTCTGCAGAAGAAGACGAACAGAAAACATTTTTAACATTGGTCGAAGCACTGACAACAGATATCGCTCCTTTTTGGCTACATCAATAGCTGTAAAATCTTTTTTGGTCTTAGTGCCTTTTTTGGTGATGAGATGTTCTATAGCACATAAAGCTCCTTTCAATGTATTATTTTGCCATCTTATTACATAACAATTTACATTGGTCGCGACATTGCGTCCCTAAACTCATGAGACGGTATTCCGTTCGACGGATTCCCGACTGTGACGAGTTTCCTGTCTTCTAATATGACTTCGGCCAATGGCAAGGTGGTAATTTTTAATGTATCTTTCTGAGCTCGGACGCGGTCCTGCCCGTTCAGCTCCAGCTGAATTTCCCAAATTTTAAAAGTCTGAACGAGTTGGAATAATTAAGAAAAAGTTGAAAAGAACGCAAAGTTAGTTTTTCAGTGACAATTTACTGACGTTTCAGTCAGTCAGATCATTTTAAGGTCCGGCTTTAATGACTCCCCAGGAGAGCGGGCTGAAACACTTTTTCATTTGAATCCACAAAGTAATGCATGCTGTTTATGAACATGGAATATTTTGAAACCAGCTTTGCCGGAGTTTTTTTCGTGGCCAAGACTCTGATCTTTGGATACTGGTAAAACGAACGTCATATTTCCAGGTATAAGGAGTAGTTTATCTGAACTAACTGCTGCCCAGGTTTTCTGAAACTGTCCTTAGCAACCTATTGAAAAGGAGAAAAGGGAAAAAGAAAATATTAGACTCTAAAAACAGAACATTTCAAAGACTAAATGGAGCAGAAAAAAAATGTTGATAAATCCGAGTTACACACTGCAGCCTTAACAGTTAAATGAATAAACAAAAGAGCTGTAAAATAACACACTAGGAAACAAAAACGACATAAAGTCAGGGTTCTATCTAGGATTTATCGTTTGGGGGAGAGGTGCCGAATGCCCGAAGGCCACGAGCTTCCTGGGGGAGTCCGGGGACATGCTCCCCCGGAAATTTTTTGAAATGAATATGCGCTGAGATGCAATCTGGTGCATTTTGAGACCCAATTTTGAGAAATGTTACAGTGGTATTTTATTTTATTTTTTAGTCGTGATCACGTTCTGACAATGTTACACTTAGGTCCGATATTTTTGAGGGGGAAGCTGGGCATTTTGGGGGGGGGAAGCTTCTACCCCTCAAATACCCTAGATAGAACCCTGAAAGTTAACTATAACTTGAAAAGTTGAAGTTGAAAAAGTTGGGTCTGTTTTATCAAGTTGTAATTCAATTCCATCCCAGTTAACAAAAAACAAAGACTTGTACTTGCAGTTTAGGTAGAGTAGTAGTAATAGACCTTTTTACTGATACGGTGGCCATATTGAATTAATTAGATTTAAGGAGTATTACAGTATGCCCAGAGGGCATGAGCACGATCCGACATACTCGCTCAGTATTTACGCGCGCTTTTCGGGCCAATTTTTCTTCAAGTTTTCCTAGAAAAAGATTGTAATGGGAAAAGAGATCGTTGTGCCGTGTTTGGATGTAATCATGCTCGCCTTTTTCCCGAGAAATATATGGTGAAGTTCTCTTTTTTGCCCAAAAAGCGCCCGTAAATACTGAGCGAGTGCCCCCTGGGTAGTCCATAATACTCCTTAAATCTAATAAATTCAATATGGCCGCTGTATCAGTAAAAAGGTCTATTTTCTATAGGAAATTGAGTTTTCAGCAATACCAAAAATCATGACAGATCCTCTATATTATACTAGAAAATAACAGTAATATAACACCAACCGGTTAGCTGGCAGGAGTTTGGTCATCGCGACCAATTCATCTGCAAGAAAAGAAGCTCAGAATCAGGAATGGTGACGGTTAACCTTCATTATTATATAGACAAGAGTGTTTTACAGGAAAACATACCACTCGTAAAATTCATAAAAACTACATCCGGGACCCGAGTGGTTTATTTTCCATAATCTCACACGTGAGTTTATCGATGACGTAATTTTAGTCATTTCCCTCTATTACTTTATCGATGTCTTTTTGTCTATATAATAAAAAGAACATTACACGGCGGCTTGAAGATACGAATTTTATTTTCTCGTGGCAAAAACAATATTGTTTTGCCACTCGAAAATAAAATTGATATCTTCGCGCCACCGTGTAATATCCTCTATTTATTTAACGATTATTCCTCGAGCCCAAATGGGCTCTGAGTCAATAGCCCATGAGGCAGAAGACCGAATGGGCTATTGACTCAGAGGCCATGAGGGCGAGAGGAATAATTGTTTTAGTAAAATCCAACTAGTCGGTCAAAAATATCAAGACAAAACAACTTTAGCCAGCAAAACGCGATTAAGCCGCCACTGTTTTGGTTTTTAAAGCCGGTGCTTTTCGCTTCTAGTGCCTATTAGAAGCTCAACCAATCAGAACGCAACATTGATAATAGACCACTAGTTGGATTTTACTAATATACATTTTGCTTACTATCCGTCTTCTAATTGGCTAAAAGCCTACAGTTAATTTTGGAAATAAGCGCAACCTAGAGATTAGTTAGTTACCTGCTAGCATATAACTGACTTTGCTGTAGGCTACGCGAGCAATACATGATACCCAAAGAGCGATCTCAAACCGTGTTCCTTACGACGGTCTATTTGTCGTTATTTTCTTCAAAACTATTAAAGTATAATAAAACATGAAAATGAAGAAATGATCGCCACAGTGAACTCAATTTATGCAATTGCGTAAAGAAGCCTGAAAAAAATTCAGGACTTCAACGGGGTTTGAACCCGTGACCTCGCGATACCGGTGCGATGCTCTACCAACTGAGCTATGAAGCCACTGACGTTGGGAGCAGGTCAATTGTGCGTTCATATGTTCCCGGGAAAGAAATGAGTGATTTATTTCATATATCATTAACACTATAATAAAACAATAACTACATTTTGGGTTTTCACACCTTTAGGGAGCTTAGGCAACGACGACGGTAACGGCAGCGAAAACGTCACTCAAAAAGTGAATTTGCGCTGCTTCAAACGTCATGTTGGCGATTTTTTCAGGAGTTGAATTCTAAAGGACTGTATCTAAGTTCGCAAAAAGAAAATCGTTGTCATGTGTTCCCGTCCTCCATGAAGGTGATGTTACGCGCGACGATTCGCAACGACGATTTTTAGCGCGGCACAGCGTTGCAATGCTGGAACAATGTTGTAACCACTCGAAACAATGTCGCGACAATGTTGCAACACTGTGTTGCGCAAAAAATCGTCGTTGCGAATCGTCTCGTGTAACATCACCTCAAAACGTGAAATCAGGAAGTTTCACGTCGTAGTCGTGCAGTGACGGCAGAGAAATGTACCAAAAAGCGTGATGCACGTGCAAAGTTGTTGTTTTGCCAATCTAAACCTATTGCTTTTTTGCCGTTCTCGTTGCCTTCGCCGTCGTCGTCGCTTAAGCTCTCTAGTTATGTTCAGCAGAAGTCGCTAAGCGATGTTGTAGAAGAAAACACATGAGCTGCTGTGAAGAAAAAAGGATACCAAGATGTAAATCAGATTCCTGGTACACTAAGCTAAGCGAGCGAGTTGCTTGAACGCCCCTATAAAGCATTTAAAATAAATAATGAAAACTTTCTCTGTCCTTTTGTTTGTCAGTTTAACTCACCTTTGCTGGCTGAAACACATCCTGTTGCTATGGCAACTTGCAAAGTTTGCGCATATCTATCCAACGACAGCTGAACTTGTTGATCGACGAAGCTGTGTTTGAACTCAGCAGTTTTAATCTTTTCGATCAAATTTATCATATCCTGCGTTAATTCCCTCAAATCAGCTCCTTTAATGAGGTGACTCGAATCAGACTCGTCCATAACTTCTCCTGGCTCCAATTCCATTTCGTCTTGCGGATTTTCTTCGTTTTTTCCAGCCGATAAGAATGCTTGAATTATGGCCAAGTGAAGTTGGGAGTATAACAATCTTAACTCAAGCTGGGTATGTCGATCGATTGATGAATAATTCCCAGCAAGTGGCATTAGCACAACCCAGCGTAGCAGGCCCAATATTGGACCTGAGGGGAGTGGGGTTGATTCGGGTGGTGCCAGTGATCCCCGCAGACGTCCTGCAGTGAGTAGAGCAGCAGGACAAGTTGTTAAACACAGATCTGGGTTGTCACTGATCCAAGAGGCCACAACTTTAAGGAGAGACAGAGGAGGAACATTTGATGATCCACTGACTGGTATCTCAGCTGAAATCAAAGAGTTTGTTACAAACAAGATAAAGGTCAATCTGTCAAGATCTTTACATGCAGCAGTTTCACTGGCTCACCCTTTTAACTAAAGGAAATTCCGGTACCAAGAGAAAAAATGTTCTTTAAAAGGACAGCACTGGTATTTTAATTCTCTTTCAGTAAAAGAGATTCTTTGAGATGGGCCAATTTTGTATTTGCAATGATGTTTTTCTCGCAAACCCGATGCAGATAAGGATGAAAAGATAGTAGCCTGTAAACTAACCTTTACAAGTCAAATTAGATTCAATTTCAGAATACCCAGTCATTTCTGTGCATCTACCTCATTGGATTACAAAAGTTCCTGTGAGCTTTCTTGATGTGTTTTTTTACTCTTAGGGCAAACTTCGTCAATAAAATATGTTTAAATAAAAAAGAGGTAGGGTATTGCTCCAAATAATTTACAAAAAAATATAAATGGAATGGAAACTTGAAAACTGTAGGAAGTCATGGTCAAGGCTGCTGTATTCATGTCTACTAAGAGGAATTTTAGTGCCTTATGCATGGCAGTGCTAGATACATCTACATATGGGTTCTTTGGGTTCTCTCATGACTGTACTTTATAAAAAGCAACAATTCACAAGACTTATGCAATGAATAGACTGGTAGCAGTGAGTCCCTTGATGTGTGGGCAAGCATGTCACAAATATCCCTCCCCTAAGTTCTACTCATAGTCCAATTTTAATTCTGGCTTTCTCTCTGCTGTGGTGTTGTGTAACAGAGAGAGAAGGGGCCACTCCCCTCTTGCAGGGTGCAAAGAAAGTTAGTTTTACAGCTTGCCGATCGGGCAAGCTGTACCTAGTATGTACTAGCCCAAAAGTCATTTCAGCTAGCCTGAAAAAAAAAATTGATGAGCAGGATTGATCACAGTTCTTCTGTAATTTGAATTCCCCCCAAAAAATCACTTAGCGATTGGGCAAGTTAATGACAGAATTCACTAGCCCGACAGCAAAATCCACTAGCCCCAGGCTATCGGAAACCACTTTCTTTGCACTCTGCCTCCAGGAACATTAGTTCTTTTCAGTCTTGCCAAGCCTGGACTTGACTGATGAGGAATTGCTCACAGCCTACATACAGAAAACAGGTTTCTTTTAAAACCTGATAGAACATTTTAATAATGTACAATTAGTCAGCTGGACTATAATATTGGCCATTCACATTAAGAGGTCATGTAACATCATTTTCATGAAAATGAAAGTTATCTGATTTTGCCTTCAAAAAAACCATTAGTGGCTCATAATTAAACAAAATAATAGTGATTAAGTTTTTCAAACCTGCACCATTTTCTTAAAATGAGTAAGTTCCTAGCTGGTCACGTGACCAAAATGTGATGCACTTAAACTTCAAGGAAAATGTTGAAAAGATGATATGGTAACGTTTACAGCACATCTGAGCGTAACTAGCAAACGTTCAACAAGATACAAGCAAAAAGTAGTTTTGGCCACCATGTTGGAGGGTAAGAGTATGCCCTCCAACATGGCAGCCAATACAAATCATACTACATGTACTTTGTTGAAAAATCAAAGTGCCATAATATGTCTCCCTTAAATGCGTTTCCTCTCAAATTTCGGGTATAAGATAACTTTTATGCACTTTGTCAATTTTTGGCATCAGCAAGATTCCAACTCATTGTTTAAAGGAAGCATTGGTCATGTGACCTCTTAGTGCAAGTGGCCTATTTGTTGATAGTTTAAATATCAAAGTGTGGGAGAAGTGCTTCTCTGAGGAAAGCTAACTGTGTCCTTGGTAGCCTGCAAGGTAGGCACATAAGAATTTTGGAGAGTGAGGGATGTGAGGCGAATACACACTGTATGAGGTTCATTGTGCCTAGATTTTCTCATATACCAGCCACAAAGTCTATTATTATTTGGTGAGATAAGGAAGTCATTCTTTCATGCACTCAACCATTTTTAAATCACTCTATCATTTAGCTTGAGAAAACAGCCATCATTTTGTGATGCCACAACTTGTTTCCCATGAAATGACGTCTGAGAAACAATGTACAGAAATTCCATGCTGATGACGCATCACTGATCTGGGTAGTGCTTCTGATTGGATGAAGCAACCTTCCCATGCAGCACAACCAATTAAAGAAGCACTACCCAGATCTGGGTAGTGATGTGTCATCAGTATGGAATTTCTGCACTCGTTTCTCAGACGTTATATTGTAGGGAAACTAGTGGTGGTGTCGCAAAATGTCAGCTATTTTCTCAGGCTCTCTATCAGTCTGACCTTTCTGTTTCATATCTGTGACAACTGGGTACAAGTTAATAAGGGCAATCATCAACTGACAAGCCATCAGTGGTGAGTGAGAAGCTAACATCTCAAGGAATGGAAGTGACGCAGGAACGAGACAGGTGTAGTCTTCAACAATGGCAGATGTCACCTTTAACACAATGTCAGGTCTGTGGTGATGCCTCTGAAATAAAGATCAGGGTTATAAAATTAAGACCATTTAACTGGTCATAGGCATTAATTGTGCCCAGAGACTAAACCTGCAACCAGGCATTTTTCCTTTAGGAGAGAGAGGAAAAAAAAAAAAAACACAAGGGACATATAGAGATAAAGGGTAAATTTGTGGGTAGCTAGAAGAGATTCAAAACAAACTCGCCAAACTCAGTGACAATCTTAACACAAAATATTGGAAAACTGTGCAGAATTTTTGGGAGGTCATATTATGTGGCAAAAAATAGTCTATTGTGCGACAAATAATTTACATCAAGGCTGCACTGTGGTAGCATCCACTGGCCCCTAGCGCCTTACTCAGTGTTGCTCTTGGGGGACTAGGAAATCATAGTTTTTTCGTCAAGTCATATGCTGGCAACCTGGATTTCACAGGTTCAGAGCACTAGGCTCCCTTTAATTTTACTTGGAGCACAACCCTGCACATGTTTTTTTTTTTTAAATTATTCAGAAAATTTGAATTTTTGAGAGGATATGATGCATGATTTTTCAAAAGCAAAGTAGCATATTTATTATCTAGTTACTTTTTCCACTTTATGATGTGGATGCAACAAATACAAAGCTGCACCATCTCATAAGATTGGAAACCCTGCCTTTTAACACAAACCTGCATCCAGATGGCCATGGATTCCAGCAGATGATCACACTGTAGTGCAACAGCCATGGAAACCAATTTGGTTAAAATTTCAACTTTCTTGTCAACCTGATATCATGCAGTTCATTACAAAGAGTTTTTAGTGGTATTCAGCTCATTCCTTATATAAAACCAGCATATCATTATATTGCAGTTGGAGTGATGATGCGGGACCTATGTGGCCGATAACTATAATTCTAAATGTTGACTTGTCTTGTATAAGGGGTTTAGTTTTATAGTTTGTGTCACAATTGTCACTTTGATATTGATCGCGATGTTTCGACCGCACACTCTTGTAGAGTTAAAGAGGCTATTGACATAAGACTTCACCCTAACAACATCAATAGGGACAGTGGAACTGAGATTCCTGAAGCATGACTGGATGCCTACAATCAGACAACATGACAACCAATCTCTACCACAGCCGACCGCTGAGGGATCAGTTTCTTCCTCTAACAATACCAACAATGCTTTGGATCGAAACCCACCAACCATGAGCAAGGTTTGTGATACACCAATCACGAACAACCACGGTGGTAAAAATAGTCCGATTCAGTAAATTGACACTATCAATTGATGAAAACCTGCCGTGTATGGTCGAAACGTCGCAATCAACGTCAAAGTGACAATCGTGGCACAAACAATTAAACTTAACCCTTTATACACATTATCCACGATGATTAACATCTTTCATGACATTGACTTACCTTATATGCCCAAGTGACTGCATAGAATTTTGTAAATACATTTTAGAAAACAAGAACCTATTTCAAATTTTAGGCTAAACAGGTTCTTGTATAGAGGGTGCCTAACTGGTGGCAAATTTTAGTTCTTAGTTCTTTAGTTCGCAGGTTTTCACTGTAGTTTATTGATAATGTTGGGGGGAAGTGAAAAAATCAGCAGGGGAAAGTTGGTCCATGGAAAGGAATGGAAAGGCCTAAAGATAACAATTTGAGGCTACTGGCACTTGCAGTACATCAGATCTTTGATAAGTTTCATGATCATTATATTATTGTGGACAAGTGTGGAGTGAACAGTACAATACACTTTCCCGGCAAAATCTCTTAAGCCATTTCCCCATAGTTTGAGCTTTTACATGAAGGAATTGGACGGAAAAGTTGTTTTGTCACTTTAAAGCACAATTTTTACATGTTAACAAATGTTACAAGTTACCATACATACCTTTCCATCTTTTATGTCTTGATTAGATATTCCAAACAGTAAATAGAACACTTCACATCTTACAATGTCAGAAACTTGATCTTGAAAACAAGAACAGACAACCTCTAAAAGTTGAAGTTCCTGCATGGCAGACAATGATTTAGCTCCTGCCACTTTGCTATGAAATATGTACAAATCAATCACATCATCAAGAAAAGCTGACAAATAAAGTCCTGGATTAGGAGGAGTGTCCGGGGCATACGCTGTAAAGTATCTCTCCAACATATGAGTAACATTCCTGCTGCATTCAGGAAACTGTGTACAACTCAGTGAATGCTTGATGTAGGACACTTTGCCTGGGATATCTACTTTCCAGGATGCAATGTCTACAAATTAAGAACAATATTTTTAACGAAATAATTAGTATCCATGGTGTAAATGTGGATGTTGTTAACATCAGACTCTGAAAATATAGCTTCACTTGTAAGTTATGAAATTTTGTAAAAGTTTTATTGAATGACCCCTAGCATTACATTATTTGTTTTTACAGTACAACTACTATAACTAGGGCCACCTTGACAAAGTTGACCAATCGGATTACAGGAAAATAACAATAACATTTGCCTTGTCAGGCGAATGAACTTTGGGGAAAACCACTGCAAAACTTTATGTGTGCATACTCTGCCCAAAAGGGGCTACGATTATATTAAACCTTAACTGAACAACTGTGATTCTTTGGCAGCAAATAATAATAATAATAATAGTTCATTTACATGGCGCACACGTCCACTAACCGCTCGAGGCACTTCACATGATTAGAGTTAAATAAAAGTAATATGCTGTACACTAAGAACATGCTAAAAACTAAGACTAATAAAAAATATGCTAGAAAAAAAAAAACAACGAGAGAGTCAGTTCCAAACCGCCAGTGCGCACACTGCAAAAACCCAAGCAAGCCAAATTTGGACTAAATAAAATTAAAACAGCCCCAGAATTAGTAACGTATCTTAGGGTTTACTGATACTCACTCCAAGCATCTTCTTCAAAGTCATTCATGACGGAAAATAAGGAAAATTATCGCAAACTATTCTGATGCACCAAGTACTCCCCCAGCCATCTTATCTTCCGCCATCTTTGCCTAAGCCACCTAGCCATGAAGATTTGTCGTGGCCCGAGAGACTGGGAACCGTGGGTGTCTCTATGCGCCCGCGATTCTAGCAGGAAACACTGGGCGCGATCCATTCAACCAAAATTCAGACTGGTCCGACCGGGAAAAGAGGACCACCTCAAAAGGTGGACCTCTTTTTTCGAAACTTTTCCGGTTGGACCGAACCGATCCATTGACTTTTGGACCGAAATTTCCGGAAATTTGAATGGATCGCGCCCACTGATTGCGGTCCACAAAAAGTTTTCGCTGTGCTGTGTAACTCAGAAACAATAATTTACAGCCAGTTTAACAAAACTTCTGTATCAGCCCAAAACTCTAAAACCCTCCCGGCAGCCTGCGCAGGAACTGGTGTGCGTAGCACCAAGTGCTACACACGTGACGCAGGCTAACTGCTCGGCAAAGTTCACTAAACCTCCCAGGGTCCGGGGGCTGAAAAGGATGTTGATCCGTAGAGGCGGTGGCTTCGACTTTAAGCCTGGTTTTCGTATGTCGGGAAAATCCCAGACGATCGGGCATTTTACTTTTTGCACACCGTCCCAGATATACCGGTTAATCGCCACAAGTCAGACTCAGATTCTCCCGATTAATTTGGCCGGAAATGGAAAGTGTGCCAAAAATTGAAACTTGCGTGATAGGGGGACTGAAGCCCAGCAATTTAGGGGATTGGTAATGAGCGAAATCCATCGCCGACGTCCCCGACGGTACGAATTTGAGTTTTCATTTGTCGGGAATGATCACCGACCATCGCAGAAATCTGGGACGCGTCGGGAAAATAGAACAGATCCTAATTAAGATTGAATTGTAAAATCAATGACGCAATAAGGTACCTGCGACACTAGGTTCACTCAGGAGTAGTAATCGGCTTCTGGTTCATTATAGCTTGGGGGGCGGGGGGCGGGTGTCGGGTACAAAGAAATTATAGGGAACCCACCTGGCCTTAGCCTCCCACGCAGGCGTTTTTAGGGGAGCTCGTATTTCTTCCCTCCCCACAAATACGAGCTCCCCTAAAAACGCCTGCGTGGGAGGCTAACCTGGCCTTCGGTCTTACCTTCACGGTTATGGGTTAAGAAATGTCGTGCACAAACAGCTGCATATACTGTATGTGCTTTGTTTGTGCTTTGTCGGATATTTTGTTGATGTAAAATTGCCGAAATTTAATTGCCTGTTGCCAACTTGAACCCACTGTAGGGCCAAAAAACAAAAAGGCGTCGTTTTAGGACAAAGTATTGGCTAGGCATACATCAAGCACTTGAATTTCCTTTAAAGGGAACCTGGAATAAGAAGCTCTGCGCGGGTAGCCCTGCGGGTTGCAGGGCGCCCGTCCCGTGTGCTATTTGCACGCTTTACCCAGCTTTTTTCAAAACCTAGAAATCAAATCCAGGAGGTTATGAACGCCATGCGAGGGTTGAGTTCGCTGGCCTCCTCCTTTATACCGAAGTTTCTCTCCAATTACCTCAGTATTCACCTCTTCTCCAAAACCAACACTTCCAGATTCGACATGTCCAATTCGATCTCAGTCGAACTCAGGAGGGTTGAGAGGGTTCCCAACAGGTGATGGGGAACCGGGACATGCCTTCTTTAAAGGATGGGATTTCACTTTTAGAAGAAAAGGTGAATAAGATACGGAATGGTAATTACGAGCGGGATGAGGGGTTTACTGCGTTATTACGATGTGGTATTCGGGAATTTTTTCTCAAAAGAACCGACTTAACCGGGAAGAAAAATCAGCTACATTATCTTAAATGCTGAATAAAATCCTTCCATTTTGACTTGACAGAAAATGCCCATATTTTCCTTCGCCCTACCATGTGACTGTTTTGACAGTGCCACCTTTGTGTATCCATCGATCTACCACTGGTTCTTCTAATATAAGGGACTCTAAAACGCCTATAAGGGAAGTCTGGGATCGAAATTAGCCGTCAATAGCGGAGCTCTCGGAATACGTACGTCTACCCATTCATGTTAGCGGATGTGAAATGTTTTACTTACTGTCTTTAAAGTCCAAGGCATATGCATGATCTCAGGCTAACACATTTTTAAAGTTCTCCACTGACCAGTTATGGTTTCAAGTGATCGCATGCTCAGAAAACTTTACTTCACAAAAAGATTTCTCAAAACGTTCACACGTTTTTGGCTTGGCAAATGGTCGCATGATGAAACGTCTGGTAGACATTTTTTGTCGCCCTTAAATATTCTGGCCAGTGCTGGCAAAACAGTTTTTTTCTACATGGTGCATATGACGAGACATATGTCGCCCCAAATATTCTGTATTTTATTTCATTTACTTTTGGCCCAGTGTTAGAAAAACTACAATTAACTAGAAATTTCTGTGATTCCACATAAAGCACGGTCAAATACTTCTCCTAATGAATAGCGCCTTAACAATTCCTTGAGTGGTATAAGGGTTTCATATCGACATACTACTGAACCCCAACTTGGCAAATTCTGTAAAATAAAAATATTAACATTTCAATGTTATAGACTTTAATCACCATGTTTGCTTGAAAAAGCTCCTACTTTTTAATAAGAGTGTTCCGAAAAATATTAACCATGATAACCACCCTGTCAGTCAGAAAAGCTAAAAAGCCGCCACTCTTCCCCTTCTTAGACCAAAAAAGGTAAGCTTCGGCTTCAGTTCTTGCATGCATCTACTTTTTATAGTCTTGCCTATACCGACATCGATACAGAATAACATTTTTTATACTCCCAGCAAGTCGGTCCCAGCTATCTCTACATCCTTGCGTTGCAGAGGCTTTTTGTATATAAAGATTAATTCACCAAAATGAATGTCGTTTCGTTGAAGAAAAAATTTTATCAGCGCCCTCCTCCCGTGTCGTGATAAATGGGTCCTTTCAACAAGTACCCCGGTTCTCTTTTGGCTGTTAACTAAAGACATCGGTGCTCATTTGGGGAAATTAAAAGAGAACCATGTGAACATAAAACGATAACCCACGGCGTTCTTATTGCAGGTGCATTGTTTTTTCACAGTGTTGTCGCGCACGCAACCGCTTGCCTTGATTCGCGTTACGCATATTTTATTTTGTAAAAAGGGGGCAAAACAAACAGTAAAATGCAAAAGTACAGCTAACAACATGTACCAGTGGCCTCCCACTCAGACGTTCTGATCTTAGGGCTTCGTCACGCGTCCCTTCCTTCGCGTGAAGGAAAGGGAAGGAATGCGTGACGAAGCCATAAGATCGCGTACGTAGGAAGCTAACGTACCAGCCCTATCCAGTGCTCCATCCGCGCTGGAGGCGGAATCACCATCGACGCCTGCTATGTAACTGTTAGCAATGACTAGAAAGTCTGTGCCGTCTGCACCAGTTGTGCTTGCCAAATATGCCGCCAATTCTTCTCTGGTGATGATGTTATCTTGTGGATTGACGTCGATTTCGTTAAATATATCCTGTAAATTTAGTGATTAGAGTTAAGCACTAACCATAGTTATCCGGGTTAAGCTCTGGAAATAGTGATTAGGATAAGCACTCACTTTAAGGCTTTAGGTTGTCGCTACATAGGCTGCAACTGATCCCTAGTAGCAAACTGAAAGCGGTAAGACCCAGCGCTCCGGGATCGATTCTTGCTCACGCTTAGGGGCTTTCCACAAGTTACTCGAGATTTTCCAAAAAAATTCCCGTTATTTCTCAAAAAGTTGCTCAAAAAACAAAAACTTTTTTGGGCTGATGCTAAAATATGGAAATTGTACGACAAAAGTAAGATTTCTAAGCATTTTGTGGCTAAATAACTTTGTAATGAGCCAATCTAAACAGGGGAAAAATTTTGGCACGAAGAAAAGCAAAGAACGGCGAGAAGAGCCCCTGCGGACAATGTCTTACCAAACCAGTTCCAAACGGTCGCCGCCGTTCTGCCTTCTGATTGGGCAGAAAAACTCAAAAGTTTTCTGGCACCGATCAGAAGTCAGAACGGCGGCGACCGTTTGGAACTGGTCTGGTAAGACATTGTCCCCAGGGGCTCTTCTCGCCGTTCTTTACTTTTCTTCTTGCCATATTTTCCCGCCCGTTCAGACTTTCCCTCGCCCCCTCTATCTGCCCCTGGGTCTCCGAGGATGATCTTCGTCCACCATCTTTTGAATTTTCTTTAAAAACTGCTGACCTAGCAGCAAGGCAACATTTATCTCGCGCCCAAAGCCTGCCCCAGGGGGGAGGATTTGGTTCCTTTTTCACAGAAAATTTATAATTTGTCTCTAAATCATTGTGAAATATGGAAGAAAGGCCAATTTAAGCACTAAAAGCTGCTCCGATATCCTAGAATTAGAAGAAAACAAGAGAAATTGATCAGACTGAAAAAGGCTGCTCGAAATGCGAAAAGTTGCCAAAAAGTTGCCGAGCAACTTGTGGAAAGCCCTACTGACGCTACTCTGAATATATGTTTTGGCCATTTTATTCATTTTATATTCTGTAATTCAATGTCATCAATTAACTTCTTTGGTTATTCACTTTCATTTCCGAAAAGCGTCTTTTGTGCATAGCACAGTTTTGGTTTTTAACCTCGTGACATGAACCCCCCCCCCCCACCGCTTGCCAAACTCGTCCTCGGGGCTAGCTTATCCTTTAGAAAATGGGACCCCACCAAACCCTGTGGAAGAGATTACCCCCTTTTCCCATTCTTAAACTAACAGTCAGAGACTAGATATATCCTGAGTGCAGGGTAAATGAAGACAAAAACTTACATCGTTTCTTTTCCACACACTCTTACTTGTTACTATCGAAACTGCTATGATCATCAACAGGAATATGGAAGTTCCCATGATCTTGAGAAGAGTGTTATGTCTATTACAGACTGGAAAAAAGATACAAGTTATTTAACTTTTTACACGCCTTGGTTCTTTTACCCGACGATCACAAAAAAGTGCTTTGAGTTTCCTGTGAAGTTGTCTGGGGCTTGCTTTACTCGGAAAAATAAGGTTACGCCCCAGTTGCACAATTGGGCAGAACCAAAAACTACCTCACTGACACCCTCGTTACGCGTTCCCAGTCGGCCTTGGCGAGGTCGGACGTGACGTCAACCGGCAATTTTTTTTTTGTAAGTTCGAGCAAACGGGCGCAAGAACTCCCTACATTGTTGGGCCGACGACGTTGGGAGTTGTTGCTTCCGTGTTGGCAGTGGTGGGCTGGGTGTGCAAACGGATGCAAGAACTCCCATTAATGCTGGGACCTGCAGTGCACCGTGGAAAGGATACAACCCACAAGACTTTAACATGGGAGGGTAGCGTCCATATACGCCCGTGGGTACAGCTGAAATCTGGAAAACATTTTCCTCGGAAAGGATTTTTGTCACAAATTGGGATGACCGGCAAATTTTTCGCATTATCTTGGTGTCTTTGTGAGTATTTCCTTTATACCCTTTTGTTATTCCATAAACCCGCCGGCAAGAAACGTTACATTATATTGGGGTGACAGACGAGAAATTGAGCTCTCTTGCAGTTCTGCACTTATACAAGCACAAGGACGATCGGTAATAATTGCTGGTGTTGTAACAGAGTTTGCCTATCTGAAGGGTGCACATCTCGCCCTTTGCTTGTTAACCTCCTTGATGCCGTCACTGGTTAACCCTTTTTTCCACTTTTTTTAAACAGCAGCACCTTGCCGATAACACTAGAGATGATGATGGAAATATGCAGTAGTTATAACCACTGCATTTTCCTTGTAATTTATTTACTGTAAAAGAAAAACACAGAAAATTGCAATTTCGAGACCCTAAATTTAAAAGTTTTTTCTGGGGCGGCATACCTCCCAGACCCCCCTAATTTGGAATGCCTTTGTCGCTCCAACCCAACCTTTCTTTCGTGCGTACACCTTCAAAATCTCACGCTGCGCCCCTGTTTGATTGAAAACTTCACCTCGACAGCTATGTTGGCGCATGTATGGCTCCATCAATGTTGGAAGAGCTGTGCAAATGGATCCAACATTTCATTTACAAATTGGATGTTCTGACCTTAAGGCGAATAACGTGGGCTCGCGGTTTCACTGGAATTTTGAACATTTTGACGCCGTTTTTCTATGGTCGGAAAGTTTATTAAGCAACGGAAATTTGTCTGTTTGTTTTGCTTTCTTTTGTTTTTACAATAAAAACGAAAGTTTTTAACGGCCATTTCCGTCGAAGTTTCAAGTAAAAATGGCGCGCTGAAACCCCTAAAAACTGTCAAAAACCCTGAAACGAAAGAATCGAGTTACCATAGGAATTTTTGCTTTCGCCAGGAATTCAAAGAAATAATACTGAAAACTCAAATTGTTCTGTGCAAATTTCTAGTCCAAGTTGTTAAATACAGAAATGGCATAGCAGACCTGCACTGCGTACAGGGTTTGGGAATTATCTACGAAACTGTCCTTTGTCAAGACCACAACTAAAACCAACTTAATGAAAACACAAATTAAATCCACTCAGAAATGATTGCGAGGATAATTGCGAGGTTAATATTATATATTGTATTGTACCTAAACTTAAATGAACAAATAAAAAACTAAAACCGTCACTAAAACATTGCAGTGTAACTCAAACCTAACGACCCTCAAACGAAAAGACTGATATCTGAAAGGGGCCCTGTACACTGGAGTTACCATCACTGTAGCCCGAGAGCAGTAGGGCGCCGCGGAGAGCTTGCTTGCGGACTACCGTAACTGTAGCAAACCGTTTTCGCCTTACTAATGGTGTATTTTGCCAATGGATGGTTTCTTTTGTTTTGCGGGAATTTCACCACCAGAACAACCACAAAAGCTTTATTTGTTTGACCATAAGCATGATAAGAATTTACTGTTTTGAAAACTCAATACGGTTACGATTACGGTAAAAACTGGTTTTTCTGACAAGGAATATTAATTTAGCAAGTTTCATGCTCCATTTTTGCCTTCTAAGTGATATGTAAATACTTATAAACTCCATCAGTTTCGTGAGTACGAAAAGATAAAACAAAACAAAGGATGAAGACGTAAGACTGCCTTACCTCCTAATTCGAAAATTTAAATCGTGAATAGATGATGATGGTTGACAAACCGAACTCCCTAGTGTTTCACAGTTCTCTGCGTTTGATAAACAAACTCTGTGTCAATTACAACTGATACCATAAAAGTTATTCAAATACGAAACATTGTTTGACGACCAGTAACAACTCCCTGTGCGACCGCCTACATTGTATTAATTAGTAACACTAACCAGGAGCAAATACGTTCTTCCAGATTTTGTGAGTAACAAAAGATTAATTTGGCATATTTTCGAGTGGTAAAAACTAAGAGAAAACGAGTTAGAAGTTCGACGCCTGCTGGGAGAGTCTGAAAAATAATGTCCTTAGAAGTCGGTGTCCCTAATAATTAGGCTGATTTAGCAACAGAATAGAATATAGAATAGAATAGAAACTTTATTAAAGTGTCAAAAACCGTCTAGCCAGGGAACAAATCCCTTACTAATTTGGGGACACCAATTAGGGGAGAATATACAAACTAAAAACTATAGACAGTAGTAGGTAAAATATCTATAGTTAACTAATTAAGAGATTTATAGTAAAAATACACAGAAGTCAAAATGAACAAAGGCTACAGCCTGCGCAGCCATCATCTAAAAGTTCACTTATATTGAGTTGGCGTATCTTGCTTTTAAACGACGTTAGGGTTGTGACGTCCCTGATACTCTTGGGTAGTTTTGTCCATAGCCTAGGCCCTAAATATCTAATAGAGTGCTTGCCATAGGTGACTGTCTCATACCTAGGTATAGAGAAATCTGCTTGCCGCAGATTGTAATTACTATTTGGTTCTTTAAAGATGTTACTTATATATGCAGGGCACAGTTTATGCTTTACTTTATACACAAGGATGCACAGATCCTGTAAGCGACTATTTAGTAGTGTTGGCAGATCTGCCTTCTCTAATAGTTGTTCATAACTAGAATTATTATCCTTGAAAACCGCTCTAAGTCCTCTTTCTTGTAGTCTTTCAAGCTTTCGAGTGTCACTCGCTTTACAAAAATGCCACACTAGGTGACAGTACGTGAGGAATGGTAATATCGCGCTTTTGAATAATATTAACTTAGATTTCATAGGAATTAAATTACGTAGTCTCATTAGAACACCAATTCTCTGGCTGGCTTTTTTACGGATAGAGATTACATGCTCAGAGAAATTTAGCTTAGAATCTAACACTACTCCTAGAAGTATGATATTATCTTTAGATTCAATCACAACATCATTCACGCAAATATTGCTGTCATTTTGAGTGAAGCCCAAGTTCAAAACTTGGTACTTTTTGAGGTTTCCCGCCAATAAGTTAGAATCGTACCACGTTGTTGCTAAGTTGGCACTATCCTTTAACTGGGAAGTCACAGCTGCCTGGTCTGCTCCTGCGTGGTAAATTTGATGGTCGTCGGCATACATAGACAAGTTCGCTGTTAGGCAGTAGGATAGGTCATTCTGGAAAACATTCCATAACAACGGGCCAAGCGCGGAACCCTGAGGACAGCCACGACTCACGAATCGGCTAGAACTAACATGACGGCCGATCTTTACTTGATATTTCCGTTCATTTAAATAGCTGTTTAAAAGTTGAATAGCGCTTTCCTGAAAACCGTACGCTTCAAGCTTGTTCAGAAGTAGTGGTGGGTGTAACGAGTCAAATGCCTTTGACATGTCAGTTGAAAGTATGCTCACAACCTGTTTTCGATCCCTCGCCAGTCTCCAATCTTCTACTAAATTGATCAATGTTGTTTCGCAGCTGTGAGCTTTGCGATAAGCGGATGAGTGTTGGTAAATGCGATTACCAAAGCCAGAGTTGATCTGCGCTCCAACCAACTTCTCAAGAACTTTACTTACACATGGTAAGAGAGTTATGGGCCGGTAGGGCCGGTAGAACATCAGTTGACGACGGCGCGCGCAAATCAAACAACTGGCTTGACCAATGACACAGCGGCAAATTGGGCACCGGAAGTCGAGTTTAGTCCTTATCGCGCGCTTTCCCGTCGTAAAATGAGTTCCCGTTCTGTTGCTAAATCAGCCTATTATACGACATAATACTCAAACTTAGACGATGTAACGTCGTGTTGCTTGGACCAAACAGTACACTGAGACAGCGTTGTAACTAGCAATTTGCCGTGGTACATTTGCCTTGGTGTTCACACAACGAGGTAAAAGTGGTCACATTCAAGATTGTAACATTCCTAGATTTTCACTCAAAACAGGGACTACCATTAATTGATTCTTGATCACGTGGCCTTGACTAAATTCAAATGCAAATGCATACCGATCGAGATACAACAGCCCGTGATCAAAGCGTGGTGGAAAGTGGCGTGACAGAAGCAGGGTTCGTACTTTTTTGAGTTCTTCAAATTCCTTGACTTTCCATGTCCTTTTCTACTCTTTGATGACCATAGGTTTAGCTGTCATTTTCTACAATTATGAAAACTTTTAGTTACCTGTTTTAGTATATTTTTGGCCCTTAAACAGTTCAACAGAAACAAACTCTGGTATCCACCAAAGTGCGTGCTGTTCGCGCTGTTTAATTACTCCTCTTTATCTTACGTTATCCTTGCTTTGTCATCTGCAGTAACTAATCTACCACACAAAGGTGAAAACTTTAATTTTCCATGACTTTCAAGGACCGACAATTTTAAACATTCCATGACTTTCTAGGCCCTGAAAATGAAATTCTTAAATTCGATGACTTTCCAGGTTTCCCATGACCTGTACGAACCCTGAGAAGGCGGTAAAAACAAAACCAGTTTTCAATTTTGTAAATGAACACAACAAAACAGCCAAGCTAAAAAGCAACTATTTTCGAAGTTAAGGGATTCACCAGTTAGTGAAGGAAAAAGATGCAGAAAAAACAAGCAGAGTACTTTGTGAATTATTCATTCACGGTTTTGATAATTGAATTTGTGGACACGCGTGCAAAACGTCTGCGCATGCGCAAGGTCTCTATTTTCAATAAGTAAAATTTGCAAAATCTTCCCCATTTAAATTGAGAAACACTTAGGAATGTTTGATATGTTTAATGGTTTGCAGCCGGTTCTAGTATTAAGCACAACAAAAGATTACTTAAACTAAATTAACTAACTTGTAAAGTCGTCCAGTACAAGGTTTTTCCGTCCTTGTTTTTCCACTTAGCATGCATTGGTCGTTTTCGTTGTTCGCATTGACCGAGCTCAGAGACATGATGACCAAAACAGCAACAATGGCTACGGCGAAGTGCTGCCAGAGCGAGCGTGGACTTTCAAACATGATTTTCGCCTTTGGTGCCAGGAGGAAAGTATGTGGTGCAAAAGAGAGAAACTAAAGCAATTAATAAACTTTGTGTTCGTGAAATTCTAAGCTTATCTTTTGTGTGTGGAGTTTACTTTTTTGAATTTCGCGGCCGGAATCTAGTTTGTTTTGGTATCGCGTATAATTTCGATTGGGGGAGGCACATGCAAATTCGCGCCGGAAGCAGGGAAGGCACGCATGCGCACTGCGTTTTTCACGCGTGTCGAATTTGTGTTCTTATAGATCTGTGTTCTCTTGAGTACTCTGCCTGAGCAACAATCTCGTAACTACAGTATTCACCCCGCTGACCAAAAAGCCACAAGACTCTGGGTACGAGATTGTATAAGCACAAGCATTATTGAATTCACTCTGTATTCTTTGTCACTGTTGAAGTTTAAATCTGGGAATATAACAGAGCACTTAATATCAGGTCCCGAGGGAAAACCAGTCAGTTTTGTTTTCCTTCGAGTCCTAATGTTTCCCTTGGAATCTCCGGAAAACGAAACTAACTGTTCCCCTCGTTAAGTAAATAGAGCGTTTTTACAGGCCGCCATGTTGGTGTCCTAAACTAACTCTGGGAGTTGAACTCTTTTCTTATGTAAACGCTTTCTTTTGTTCCAATATATTTGCATTTATTCTGGCCACGTGCACGTGGGTGAAAACGCTCTATTGAGCGTTTTCACTCCAGCGGCCAGCGGCTATGTAAATTTTTTGGAACGAAAGAAATTTTCTACACACGAAAAAATGTTCAACTCCTACAGGACTGGTTTGGAATACCGGACGTGACGTAACGTGAAAACGCTCTATATCGTTCCCGTGGTACTTGCTGCGTGCGGGGCATCTTTGACGCAGGAAATTTCAAATTCACTCTACTTATTGGCTGTCTAATGGCGGGAATTCGAAATGCCAGAAAAACTGCTCGGTAGTTTCCATAGTCACTTATTTTAAAGTGTTTACGTTTCCATGGTTAGTTTGTTATGTTTCTCTGGAGAAAGCAGGCACACGCAGTTTTAACCCTTCCAACGTAAAACGCCTTATCCCGTGAGAAAAACCTTTAATGTTGATCGTAACTGGAATAATTTTGAAGCTCCAAAATACGTAAGGAGATCATATTAGGGACCACAGCGTTACATACATACATAAATGCATACATTCTTTATTGTTTCCTCCCCAAAGGGGCTTTTCAGGAACAATACTTATTTAAAAGCATTACATTTAACTGATTACAACACTCAACCCTGTGCTGATCAGCTGCTTGGGCTCACAAGTTATCGAGAACCATGGCTGGAAACACCTTTCCGCCCCCACAAACAAGTCCATGCATCAGGCGATGTAGAGTTACAAATGCACTGAAAAATGAAAAAAAAAAGGATTCACACGAATAATGAATGAATGAATGAATGAAAAGTCGTGAATGATAGGACAACAGATGTGCCCTCTTACAATACATTTTTTTAACACTTGAACAAGATACAAGATATATAATATAACAAGGTACAATGGCGAACGGAGTCTCTTGAAGTCAGAAAGAAAGGAAAGGGGCACAGAGATAAGAAGGAAAGAAAAGAGAGAGCAAAAGATGATAAAAATTAAGAAATTATTTTTTCATCTTTGGCTCATGAATTCATGCAGAATATACAAGGAACCTCTTTACATCGAGGTGGGTGACCCGAGCTAGGTGAAGGAAGCGCCTTAGGTGAGGTAACCCGCATGTCCATATGTAAACCTGATCGAATTAAAAGCAGAAATTATACGGACGAATGGGTTACCTCACCTACATGGGTTCCCCCACCTCCATGTAAACAGGCGCTAAGTTTCGATTTTATGGCACCTGTCTGACGGGTCCAGTTTCTCAAGTAGCGGCAACAACTTTTCGTCGGCAAGTTGGCTGATGTTCAACTTAAACCGCAACAGTTGAACCTCATGATGGAGCTGAATGAGCTCGTTTAACTCCTGCACGAAGAAAGGAACAAAAAAGACAAAATGACCTCCTCCTCTGGTATACTAACTGCAGATTGCAACTGTGCGTACTTTCCTTCACAAGGTTGTGTTCTAAGGAAAATTGGAGGGAGCCCGGTGGTCTGAAACTGTAAAATCCAGGGTGCCCAGCATGTGATATGTATGAAAAATCTAAGATTTTCTAGTCGCCCAATGACAAAAGTTAGGGGCCAGGGGCCACCGGGCTCTGCTAGAGCACAACCATGCTTCATATACGCACGAGCTACTAGGATGCTTCCCCGGGATTTCGCCTTCTAGGCTAAATTCCTCCGGGGCAAAAACTGAGACACTAACTGATCAGAGTAATCGCCCTCCTCTGATCAGAGTAGTCTCCCTCCTTCAATACAGGTGCAGTGACATTGTTTTTATCACATCAGTCCTAAAGCGAGAGCAAAAATAGTGGGTATCGTGAATAAGATCTACAGGTATTGTTGCTTAATGCTTTTTCGCTAACCTTGGGAGATTTGTAAGAAAAATCAACTGACTCATATTTCCATATGAGGTTCTCGCATAATTCATCCCTTAAGTTGACTTCGATATCATCAGGCATCCAACTGGAAAGAAGTATACATCCTTCTATACTGCTGCCCTGGTCCCGAATATTCGAGGAGTCCCGTACACACGTGACATCCCGCGAGGGTACTCGATCGAATGCATCACAGTTCCCACAAGGGCAGCGTTTTGACAGCTGTTCTTCGGCTATAAAGAGAAATAAAACTGATCATGAAAATAGTTTTTACAAAGAGAGGATGTATTTACTAAATCACTTGCACAAGAAGTGTGATTTCTGTTTCATTTTAAATTTTACTTTGTCCGTTTCAATTGTTACAATACCATACACAGTGTAGAGATACGGCACTTGTAGGGGCTGGTTATGTTGCGGGCTTTGTTCGGGGGCACCGAACGACGGTTTCCTCCTAAATACATTGAAAACACTTTTAAGGCTATCCGGAGTACTTTCAGATCTCTAGAAATGCATTCTAAGCGGCGCCATAAAATTTGTATCTGTTCGGTCGTCCTAGAGCAACTTGAGTCTTTTCGAAATTACAAGGGCTTCGGTATTATTTTCTCCAAAATTTTAGATGCAATTTTAAGTTTTACGAAAAACAGAATTTTTCTGATTCTTCTCTCCGTCGCATTTTCGAATCCAAAGATTTTAGGTTTCCTTTTTCTTCGAAAAACAGCCTAACTTGCACTTGGGGACTAAAATGCGAAATTAAACTTTAGAAAATCGTAGGGAATTTATTAGATATGCAACGAAAATTGTACACAAATGGAACGGTCATCTAGAAATTTTTAGCCTTCCTCAAGCTATAGAAAATGTTAGGCAATTTGTGCTTCTCCGAACAGATATCTTACAGAAGACAGTCGCTGGGTGCCCCTGATGTTGTAGGACCTGGGGTAAAATGAAATTCCGGGAAAACAGTTTCTGAATTTCTTTTGTCTCCTAACCCTGATTATTCAAGTCTATGAATACCGTCGTAAATTTCTCCTCGCAATCCTTTCATAATCATTTGGCAAAGATTTCCTTCCTTTCTTAAAGAAACTGAAAATTAGCAATTTCAATTTCTGTCCGTGGCTTAAAAAATTAAACAATGGGGATATAGAGTCTATGATCTCAAATGTATAAAATAGGACCACAATAAATTGAGTTCTGATAACAACTAGACTGCGAGCAGTCTCTTATTTTTCTTTGCAAAGGTACTGCACCGGAAATCTAGACGGATTTTAAGAGAAAAGACGGACTGCAAGCAGTCTAGCTAACAACAAATTAGCTGCACATGACTGATTTGCTGCGGATCAGAACATGTGACTTTGAGGCTGACTAACCGGAAAGGCTGGTATGTTGTTTTGCGAGCAAAGGACAGACACCACAAGCAGTTGAACTAAATACAACACTGAGAACAGGAATGGCAGAAAGTGCTCCTCAGCCAATCGCTAGTCCTTATTGCTGGAAACTGATGAAAAAACTTGACAAATCTAGAAAAGAAAACTTACTGACTGACGTTACACTCGACGTTGAAGGGCAAAGGTTCGCGTCTCATCGATGTGTTTTAGCATCGAGCAGCGAGTTTTTCAACAGCCTATTCACAAACGATATGAGAGAGAAAACGGCGCCAGTCGTGAAGCTTGAAGGAATACCAGCTTACATAATGGATGATCTTTTATCTTACCTTTACACTGGTGAGATTCAGGTAAGCAAAACTAACGCCGAAGATCTAATCGCGTCGGCGAACTTTTTGCTTCTTCCCCGACTTAAAGACACCGCTTGCGAATTCATGGAACTTCACACGACAGCCTCGAACTGCATATATAACTATTTGTTCGGTGAGAAATACGAATGCAAAAAGCTAAAAAGTTACGCTCGCGAATTAATCAAGAAAAATTTTGGGACTGTGGCAAGATCCAAAGAATTCTTAACGCTTGGAGTTGATCACGTTAAGGATTTAATTTCAACCGATGACATAGTCATCCAAGCGGAAGAAGACATCCTTGAATATATTTTGGAGTGGATCGGAGGTAATCAACAAGAACGGGAGCAATATTTCGCAGAACTGTTTCGTCACGTTCGACTGAGCAGCATTTCCCAGCAACATTTCTACTTAAAACTCGTGCACGACGAACTGATACATAGCAATCTAGAATGTAGGAAAACAGTCATGGAGGAACTGAGTCGACGTGCCAAGCTAACAGGTCAGGATATCTTGCCACAGAAGCCCAGAAAATGCCTCCAAACTCATGAAGATGTTATCCTCACATGTGGGGGTATGTTCCCTGGTGGACTCGTTCGCAATACGACTCTCTGTTATGTGCCAGCCGACAAAACCTGGTACCAGCTAGCACCTATGCTTTCTAGACGATTCAGACATGGGTTTGCAGCTTGTCAAGGATCTTTCTACGCCATCGGCGGTGAGGAGGGAGATTCTATTCATTGTAGTGTCGAACGCTACGACTCATGTACTAATACCTGGAGCTATGTGCAGCCGTTAAATAAAGGAGTCAAACTGATCGGGGCAGCCACCTTACAGGGACTTCTGTATGTTGTGGGTGGCATTGAGTGCGGTGAGGAACACGAAAGACGACGCTGTGACGCTGTGCAGAGGTATGATCCTACAACGAATTCTTGGACTCTGGCTGCTCCTTTAAGTAGTCGACGCTCCTCTGTTTGCCTTGTAACAGACGAACACTTCTTGTACTCCATCGGAGGGCTTGCTGATCATGATTTCCTATCTTCCCTCGAAAGATATGATCCCAGATTAAATACATGGGCACCCATGGCTTCAATGAACGAAAAGCGTGGCTGTGCTGCTGGGGTGAGCCTGAGAAAGAAGATCTATGTCTTTGGTGGAACAGTCGATGCATTCACCGGATACGCTAGTCTAAGTTGCGAGGTTTATGACATTACTTTAAATGAGTGGCACTTAATTCCATCCATGCAAGTTCGAAGGTTTCATGCAAGTGCCGTTCTGTTACGGGATCGAATCTACGTGTTTGGAGGAGTTGGAGGTGAAAACATCGAGCAACACAATACCCGAATGGTGGAGTGCTATGATGTGGAATCAAATAGTTGGACGGACGTTCATTCTATGTTCTATGAGGAGACCTACTTTAGAGGATGTTCGGTCAGTATGTTCAAAGGGTTACTTGATTCGCTGGAGAAAGTTGAGATAACACATTAAAAGGCCAGGTTTGGAAAGAGACACCATTTTTGTGTAGTGAGCTCCCTGTATAAAGATAATGATGATGATGATTATTATTATTATTATTGTGCGGGCAAAAACAAAATAACATCCACCTAAGGGAGGTTTTGTGAGCCCGCGAGACTAAGCAACCCTCCAAAACCATTGTTTTCACGAAAACCGCTGGACAAAAAAACCTCTCTTGGCCTTGGGACAATGTTACATTTGTACTTTGTCGCAACACTTCTGTGCGTGGCAAAGTACAGTGTCCACGCTCTTAGTGACATCTTTTATAATCCAAAAAAGGGTGTATGTCACGCGTCAGCACGCTATTTATCTTTTTAAAAGCTAAAACTTTTTTCGCACCAACTGGATTCCAAATTGTGTTATTTAAGACTATATGTAAGCACTGAAACTGTTTCCTGTCGTCTGTTGTTACGGATGGCAAGGATATATAATGACTTGAAACTTAAAAAATCCGGCCTACTTTATCAAGTTTTAATAATATCAGGGGCACCCAAAGAGAATATAGTTCAAAACCACATAAGCATAGCATTGTTAAACGTATTTTAGTTTTTAAACGGTAGACGTAGGCATTTTTTACCCCCTAAACATTTTTCATCTGTTCGGATTTCCTAGGTAGGTTACCCTTTTAGAGTAAAAATCCGTTAAAAGTGGGCAATTATACTATTTTTTAGATGTTCGAAAATTCTAGGGGAGGCAGGCAAGCAAGAAATTTTACCAAAAATGTTCCGAAAGTTCTAGATCTCAAATCGTCTTCCGAAAAGATATTTTCCGAAAATTGACGTTGGGTGCCGCTGATAATATGCCCTCGAAAAATCAACATGAGAGTTACAATGGTTAGTGATCTCCCCGGTGCAATTGTTTGATATTTTCTTTATAACTCTACGGGAGCATTTGGTGTATGGGTAAAAGGAAGTAGGTAATGACTTCAGCACAGAATTGTCAAAAAACAGTAATATTTTCGTGACATACCCCCTTTAAAAACGTTCTTAATCCGAAAGTTTCATAGACTAAAAGCCCAAATACAAATGGCATAGCGAAGGATTTTGTGAAGGTCTTACAATGCCAAAAATTGTGGCTTAACACTATCAATTTGTTCATGTAGGAAATGACAGGCCACAGAAAAATAAAAGGTAAAAAAGGCGTACTTTATTGCCAGGACGAACAACAGCTTCTCATTTCAGATATTGCATGAATTACAGTTATTTGCAGTGCGCACAATTATCCTTAAGTAGTTTTACAACTCTGTAATACGTTAAATTCTTCACATTAACTGTTTGTCTCATCAACTTCAAATTTGAAATGATTATCGTATTGAAACAAACTTAGCGTACGAAACAATAAGAGCATGTGGATTCTCCAAGAAGACAAAGGCGTAGCTTTAAACTTCAGTTTAGAGCAATCTAATCATCCTTCAGTCTACTGCAAGAAAAAAAAGGAAAGAGCAAATTTATCGAAGAAGTTTAAAATATTGTAAATATTAAATCAAAGGAACGGTCTTCTTTTTGTGATCTTACTTTTTACAGTTTGTCATTGCTTTAGAAACATTTAAAGGACACTTTAATTAGCTGGCTTCTAGTAAACCTAAAGGCCAAAAAAAGCAAAAATAAATCAACTTGATTTATTTTTGCTTTGAATTGAGGTTATGTTTGACATTTCACCATAGTCCGCTCTATGCCAATTCATGGTAGGGATGAGTAGAAAGCGCAAGTGATGATGATGAACTTTATTCATGTGTCGATGTATTTAGCTGACGCTAATTGGGGACACAACATAAAGATAAAATAAATAATGAATAATATGATAAATAAAAGATAAGAAATAAAAAAGTTATAAAAAAAAGCTATAGTATAATCCTATATATATTATATATTCATTTACAATATGCTAAAATAATCAAAACAATTCTAGGAACACGGGCACAACTTAAGAGGTACAAATTACGCACGCGGAGTAATTGCTGCCATTTATCAGTTCAGTAGGATCCTTGCATCTAATATGAAACTTAAACCGAGATAGGCTGCTCGTTTCAGTGATGTTTTTATCTAGTTTGTTCCATAAAAACGGTCCGAGATATCTAAGAGAGTGTTTACCATACAATACAGAATTAAATCTAGGAATATCAAATTTTGGTTTCTAAAATTATATTTACAAGACTTAGTACTGAAAATGTCACAAATGAAATCAGGAAATAGCCTATATTTAACCTTGTACATGAGTATAACTATGTCTTGTAATCTCCTAATAAGAAGGCTTGGTAGTTTAGCACGATCTAAAAAGTTCATATACGTTTCTGAATGTGAATTATAAACTATCCTTAGTGCCCGCTCTTGAATTCTTTCAACCTCTCTTGTATCCGACGCCTTACAGAAATGCCATGTGAGATGACAATAGATGAGATATGGCATGATAGCAGTTTTATAAAGTAATAGTTTAGCCTCCGTAGTAATTAAGTTTCTTAACCTGGCGAGAACGCCTACCCTTTGACTGGCCTTTTTGTATAATTCGCTAATATTGCCTAAAAATTAGATTCTCGTCGAAGTTCACACCCAGCAGCTTGATATTATCTGATGTCTTAATCGCTTGATCACCGATCTTGATGTTAATCTGTTCAGTTTCATTACGTTGTTTAATCCCTATGGCGTTAAGTTTTTCTGGGTTGGACAGTAAATAGTCGTTCTTATACCATTTAAGGGCAGAGTTTCCTTCCTTTTCCATATTAGTACACATAATGGACATATCGCTGCCAACTATATACATCTGATGGTCATCAAGTGATAGATAAAGACAGTTGCACAAGCAAGCCCAAGCTTATTTTTGCGCGAAAACTGAATCAGCTATTATTAACATGCATGGCCCAAACTTTTTTGGCGCTTAAACTGCATCAATTGTTATCAACATAAAAGAAGGACTGACAATGTATCTTCGGTGACTTGACCACATGTGTATGTCTAGTCCACAAGGGAAAGTACAGTATCGTAACTCAAGTAATAAGTTTCTTCCTCCTTTTTTACTGCTAGAGTTCCACGTTCCAGTTGACAAAATCTTATCAAAATAAATACTTTGTTGTCACAAAAAACAAATCTATACAATCTCCTCAGTATTAGTAGAACTTTCATTTCTCCTATACTAGGCTCACAGTGCAAAGTGCAAAAGGCGCAGAACGGAAGTAGTAATTTGAGCCTCGTGATAAGCGGCTTTGTGGCTTGTGCACCGCTTCGGAGATAAACAAGTTTGTTACATCATGACAGGTCTGTTAAAACCACACATGAATTACTTTCTTTCAGTCGATAACACTCGTTCCCCTGCCAACATTATGAATTCCGAATATTGTTGGCCGGCCACTGATCTGACTGGCTACACATGGCTTCAGAAATGTATACTAAAAAAAAAGGCTAAAATTTTCTTTTTGAGTTTGTACTGAAAAAGATTGTAAAGTTTGAAATTATTAGTAACCAGCGTGCTGTACATTGCAAATTCAAAGTAGACAGACTGCAAATTATCTTAGTTGCTAAAAAATATATATAACAATTCAAAGTAGACAGACTACAATTATCTTAGTTGCTAAAAAATATATATAACATTTGTCAACAAAAGAACTGAGTTCAAATAACAAAATAAATAAAACTCTGAAAGTACGGGCTTTTTTCATTTCTCAAAATGGTGCACTGGCACTGACTACATTATAAAGCACCAGCATTGACTATAAAGGAAACTACTAAAAAAACAAGTTTAAAAAATATTAAAAGGTGAAATTTGATTACATGTAGTTTGCAAAGTATAACTGCACGATTATATTTTCCAATTACCCTTGACTAAAAGTCTTGCTTCTATGACGGGGTGAAACTTTTCTGCGAATATGTTTTTACCATGCACCGACGGATCTACAAGTGCATGACTTAAAAGGGACTTACTTACTTAATGCCTTTCGTCATGCTCGCGAGGTATCTTCCGAGGTACATTTAATCCATTTTGTCCGCTCTCCAAAATCTTCATCAGCAGCCAAATCAACATTCCACCAAAGACGCCACCAAGTACACTCGACATAAATATCTCGGAGAAAAACATCCCTGTACTGTCTACAGACACGCCGTAGATAAGGTGTGTAGTTTTCTGTTGCAGGCGAAATGTGACGTGACTACAACCATGGAGTTCGAGTGGTTTATCAGCATGGTTATCAGCATTTTACTTACCTCTGTCATGTGATAATCAGATATATATATAAAAATGTCGACGTCAATCAACGTATGATCCTGACCTCTTTGAACCGATTGCATTTCCTACTCATGCACTGGCATTCGACAACGATTAACACCTGTTGGTTTTTGAGAAAATGAAGACGTGTCCATGGCGATGACAGGAAATAAACTGAGGCAGTGACGTGGGAGAGTGGGTAAGGCGGCTTTTAAAGATTTCGAAGTTGATCAGCAGACAGTGGATCTGTAGATTGTACGGCAGTATAAATCCAATAACGGCGGAAGTAAATCCGTGCAAGAAAAAAATATATGTATTTACCATTGTACCACACTACACAGTAGTTATATACGCACATAAACGAAGCTACAGTCTCAGTCAAAATTGTTGGGACACTTTTGTGTCTCCTTGTCCCCTCAATGTTGGTGTACAAGGTTTGGTGACTGAAACGCGATAAACAACTTTGACAGGGACAAGGGGAGCACAAGAAGGAAAAAACAGCGTTTGGTCTAAGTGACCCAACTATTTTTGTCTGAGACTGTGTCGGGGAGGAATTTGAACGCGTGTTGACAGATACGGAGGTTAATCTGCCGGTCGGTCACAAGCGAATGGCTTTTGCTTTGTTGGCAGTTGTTGGGGCGTCCATTGTGTTTCGCGAACGTTTCTGTAGCAGTGAACTGAATTATTTTGGCACAACACAATAACACAAAGAATGTCCAGTTCGCAGAAATCTTTTTTGGCAGTAGAGTATTGGAAAATAAAAGCTACTGAGTGTGCACTAAACGGTACACAAATAGCTTTCAAGTGGGCGATTGATAGCGTGACAATATAGCACGTGTATACTATCTGCGTAAAATTCACATACGGAGAGTCGCTCGAATGTGCCACATTTCTAGAGAAAATGTGTAGAGAATACTAAAGAAGGCCTCTTTGCCAAAAAAGAGTGTAATGAACAAGGCCCAAAGGGACGCCTTTCTAAGTTAAGGGCAAGAGGCGAAAGACAGCTGAAAGAGCGATTAAGCGATTTCGAGAGAAAGGGGGAAACTATTCCTCCAAACTGGAAAACGCAACAAGCCAGGATTACCCCCAAGGCTTATCAGCGAGAACAGTATCGCACTTTCTAAATTTCTAAAGATACTATTGACTACAAGCGCGTGTCACGGCTCCAATAGTGTTTGGTCCAAAACGTAATAAAGCTTTGACTGGGAAATGTTCTTAATTATTGGGGAAAGAAATCATAAGGTAATACGCCACATCCACATTTCCCATAATGCACCTCATTTGCACTTTAATCTCGTACCTAGATGATCTCTTGTTGACGAAACCGAAGGCGAGAACTGGTCAAGTAAGAAAATTCAATTTTGTCGATTTGCCAGATTGTGAGCGAGTGACGTGAGTGCGATCTTCTGCTCGCGCTACGGCGTTCTATGATAATTAATTTTAAACTAACGGCCGAAGAAGAGGAAAAAGAAAAAGAAAAAGAACAACAACAAATTAGTTGGTTTATACGTCAGCTGTGCGTATAACTATGTTTCGTTAGAGAGACCTTGACCGCTCTATTAAATTAGTTGTTTAACACATCGAAATACGGCTACAATTTTGAGGATTTAGTTCAAGCCTGTCACATTCCTGACAGGCGATCACGTGTACAAATCGAATTTGACCAGATCTGGCCTTCGGTATCGAAGAACCTCGCAAAGTTGCGGGGGGAGGCCCATAAAATGTTAGGGATGGAAGGGGGAGAGAATTGAAGTAAATTGCGTACCTAGGGATGGAAGGGGGGTCAACACTACACACGTATAAAGGGCGTATAAAGGACCGGGAAGAGACGGTCTCTCCTCGATACAATGCAGTGGAACCTTGAGATAATGAAGGGCCAAGGGACTGGCAAAATTTGTTCGCTAAAACGAGGTTTCCTTTTCATATATTTTACTGTTACTGGGGTGAAGAAAATCGTTCGCTATACCGAGAACTTCGTGACGTAAAGGCTCGTTAAAACGAGGTTCTGAAAAATAGTGTGTTCTTCAAAGCACTTTGGTAAAAGTCTGGTGCTTTCATCAGGGTTCGAACAGATTGACCTGGTTGAGGTTATTGTTATCTAAGGTCTTCCGGCTCCGCATGGCCAATAGTAACCGTACCGGTAACAGCCTGTCTCACTACTTGTCCAGTTCGCTACATATTACTTTCTGTTTCTGTAAATCATTTAACACTAGAAAAAAAAATCGTTCAAAAGATTTCTCGTTCTTTTACGCTTGCCCATCTGAAGGTGCAAAATTTGGCCTTTGCCAATAGCCAGTGAGACCTGTACGTAGGTAGCGAACTCAAACGTAGCGAATTTGACTAGTTGCGAAACCGGTGTAAAGCGAAAGTGCTACATTGTCTTCTTACCTTCCAATAGCTGTTGAGTCTTCCTCTGTAGTTCATTGAACTTACTAAGTACAACTTGCCAGTGTCTGTAGCATTTATAGACTTCTGACCATGAAGAATTCTCGTTCAAATTATTACTTCTATTAACAACTTCATCAGTGAGTCTTGTTAATTTTTCATGTTCTTCAAGAAGTCCACGAGCGTTGCTTTTTAATGTCTCATGAGTGGAAATTCCTTCTGCATCAAATACACATTCAATACGATTAACAAAATGCTGACATGGTGAAGGTTCGTCCCTCTTGCAAGTGTCGCTTTTTAGTTCAGAATACAGCCTTGAGCTTGTAGCTTTAAGTTTGCGATATTTACCAGGCAAAACAAGTTCAGCTTCTTTGCTGAAAGGATCAAACCATTCCCCTTTTTGACCATGAACATGCCTGGTCTCTTGAGTACATTGGCCATCCTGGTTACTTAGCCCAGAAGATTTGCATGGTTTCCCCGTTGTATTTTGAAATTTGTTGCTCAAATCATCCGATGCTAAAGGGTTCATTACACCAACTTGTAATTTACTTTCAAGCAATTCTCTACTTAATTCAGTGGATCTATCAGCACATTTAAATGCCTCAAGTGTTTTAACTGTTGTGACGGGTTCATTTCCCCGCAAAGGACCAGGTTGTAATTCATGATGTAAATCCTTTGAATATGAATTGGAATCTTTTTCGCTGTGAATGGATATTTCTTCCCTTTGTGCTTCACTGTCAGATAGTCTTGTAACACTCCTTGAAGAGGGGTCAGCTCCTGGAAAATAAGTATACCACGATTTATTTCATGTAATCATCTCAGCACATTATGAGATGGCCGGGTTTTTTTTTATTAGACTCGTATTGTCCATGCTACAGTAGATCACGAAATTCTAGGCAATGTTAACATCAACTAAAAACGCACAGTTGACTGAAATATCAAAATAGTTGCTTCAACCATTTAAGGGAAATACAGAAAAGAAAGAAAGGAGAACCAGACAGGTAAACCTGAAGAAAATTAAAATGGATTACATTATTGTATACAAGGGTGTAGCCAGTCCATGAACCTATAGGCCCGGACCTACAAATTTTTGGTTTGATCACTCTACCGCTTGTAATATACAGCTATTTCGAGAAAGGTTGTCGGAAAAAATGTGCACGCGACAATCCCGAAAGGTAATATGGGATATGATCAGTAAAAGGTTCCTGACGACTGTAGCTGTCGAACCTAATTTTGTTGCTTTCCTTTGGCACTCGCAAACACATTTGCATAGCCTTTCGTACCAATTCTTTCAACTTTCTTTGAAAAAAAAAGAGAACTCAAAACCACCCACAATGCCTTTCAGGATTGTCGCGTGCACTTTTCCCGACAACCTTTCTCGAAATAGCTGTATTATGTATTGTTGGGTCAGCTAAAAAGCTTAGGAGCTCAAAGTGTTGGTGAGGCCAGTACGCACTACTCATGCGTGCAATGTTCAGGATGTGTGGAAATCGAGGTCAGCCAGGCCTACAACTAGTCGAAAAGCTGGCTACGCTCCTGGTATAACTTATCATAACTTTCCTATTTCTGTGTGAGTAATAAATAAACTTAACACAAGGGAGATATAAAAAAGACGTAAAATACATAAATAAAATATAGTCAAAACGAAGCAGCAGACACGCCAATCTGACAAAGAGTAAATGGGATTACATTCTTGCTTAATACTCGCCTAACCCTGCTCGTAGAGAGAGGCCATTATTATTTTATTCATATCGATTTGCCAGAAGGCATGACTAACAGTGTCCAAGATTCGTCCTTATTTCCCACAGTGGCAACAAGTTTCCCTTAAAGGGTGTTTCTTACACCAATTTATAGTTTACAATCACATGATAAAACACACGGAAAATCATTGAGAATACAGAGACCTAATCCTTTTGAACCCCATGCCAAGAGAAGCACTCACCTTGTGTTCTAGAACCAGTCTTCAAAAGCTTTCCTTTGGTGTCTTTAAAAACACTGTCTAAGTACACCTTGGCAGAATTGGTCTGTGAGTGTCTAGATTGAACTAAGGACTTTGCCGATGAGGGTCTGCTGTACGAAGAGCTGTATGTACTCCTCACAGCTGACTTCTGTGCTGCGGGTTTCTTCACTGCTGTAGGATGTCTTGAAGCAGTTTTAGACAGTTTAGGAATGGGCTTTTTTACTGAAGGCTGAGTGGATTGTTTAACAGATGAGTCTGAAAGAAAATAACAGACTGGCTTTCTTTCAAACTTCATTGCATTTACTTAGCCTTGTTCAATTTGTCAAATGTAGGCAAATTTTCATGGACTGGAATTCCATGCTGATCATTTTATCAGGCGAAAATAAAGTTCTTACCTTCTTATCTTATCTTATGACTCTTTACAAGTTCAAAAGAGAAAGGAAAATTCACCAAGTACATTCCTTGGCTCTAAGCCCTCAATGAGCCCGTAAACTGACTGACATTAGACTACTGTCTTCATGCAGGTATAAACACAGCAATAACTGCCTCAGTGCACCTACCGGTAATTCGTTATCACATTTTACTTAACGACCTTAGGAAGTTAGGAAAATGTGATATAGACAAATATAAGACAATCTATATCAAAAATCAATAGAACACTACACTCTTTAGAAGCCTCCACAAACAACAAGTAACCATGGCGGTTACAGCTATGAACTGGGTCATGATGCCTTTTTCATTGTAAACCTATTTTTTGGAGGTATTACTTAGAATTTTGTGCATAATAAATGTGTTTTTAATTACAGTGGAACCCTACTCTATGGACACCTACTTCTTTAGGATAAATTTGTTACAGTTACAGTTGAGAAATTAAGCAATGTTTTCTCATGAAAATATCTGCTTTCATCTTTATATCGATAAAACATGTGTCTGGGATGTTTTTTATTCTTCTAAGAACCCGCTTAAGATGGTCACTCGATTAATTCGGACACTATGGTATGCCCTGTCAGAGTCTGACAGGGCCACAAGCTGAAGAAGGTAGGCATAATGATAAAACTATGAGAACTACAAACAAACAAACAAACAAAGAAAAACAGGTAGACAAGAACTTACTGTTGCCTGCTACTGGAATGGGCTTTTTTGTTATTTTCTTTTTAGGGGGATTGTTAGCCTTAGCTGTGGCTTCATCAACCTACAAAAGGAAATAAATAAATTGTTGTAGTTAATTTTTTATCTCAGGTAATTTTTGTTTTTCTTTTGTTTTTGGGTATGGTAATGTATGCTAATAAGATAAGATAATTTATTTAATGTCAGATACACAGGGGGTGGTCTCCCAATCCCCCGAGCCACAGGTTCATGATAAAAGTGTTTGACAAATGAAGTTGAAACAAAGAAAATATAAAAATTTCCTGAGATAAAAGATTAACTACAACAATATTATTAAGTCCTGATGTTACTTTTAAACTAATAAAACTGTGAACACCTAAAATATTTTAGGAGTGTTTATTGTGCTATGACCAATCCCAGTGAAGATCAGGACCTGCAAAGCCAGTTTGCGGTTTAGTTTTCCCATGCCTGATTCATCTAGCACATCCCTTACTAGTTATTATACAACTTGTCTCAATAAAGCTGCAAAACTACCATAGATGTTCATGTGAACAAACAAAGGTAGAAATGCTATAGTAATACTTGAATTACCCAGGCAGGTAGTTTGGGATTAGAGATTAATTTTGTCCATTTAGCTTTCTGGGGGTAATTTTGTGGAAGGAAACTTTTTTACATTAGATTTAACCGTGACTTTCCTTTAACACTTTTCCACGCTGCCCTTTTGTGTTCGAATATTAAAGTACCATGTGCATGAACATGTACCCAGTGCACACATCACTCGAATAATAAATTGTGTCATAATTTCTAGCGTTATTCTTCTCATGCCTTCTGTGGGATGTAGAGTGTGTGATTCAACTTGCCTTCTGTCTATGATAATCACAAAAATTGATACATGTACATAAGCCAAAACAAGTTTATGATAATAATATTGCACCTTTTTCCTTCAAGTAACCAACTTGTCCATTATAAACGTAGAACAATTTTATGTGTTACACAGCCAGGGCTCGAAAAAGACTTGAATTTCAGCCTGCCCTTTGGGCAAGCACTTCAAGCCAGGCAACACTTCTTACTTGTCTTAGTTAATGATTTTGTTTGAGGATGACTTTCTTGGACCCTTGGCCATTGAGTAAGTACCAAGTAAGCTTCAAAAAGTTATTACTTGCCCAACAAGAAAATCAACTTGTCTTAGACTACCATACAGGACTTTTTTCGAACCCTACTGACAATATTAATTTTGCACAACTGTTTTCACATACTTTTAGTTGTATCTCTCGCACTTTTTGTGCCTTGGCTAACAAATCATCAAGTGCTGCTAGCTCTTTTGTCTCGGCTGCACTAGCTAAGAAAAGTAAAGAAGGGCAAATTTAATCACAGATTACTATTCTTAGTTTATTACATTATCAGTTTAGCACAGTACAAATTTAAGGTGGATGACTTGTTTGACTGTCTTAATGACCCATGGAGTAATTTAAGAGCTGTTAATAAGTGCCAGTAGCTGGCCAAAACCACCCGGCTAGTTAGCCACCCTTAGCTGGCTACTTTCATCTCCTTCTACCATAACTGCTAACAAAAAATAACCATGCACTTCCCAGTTTTGAAAGCCCTGAGTAATGTTGGGAGAAAAAAAGACAGTACTTCTTATGTAAGGTATGCAGCCACCTAGAAAACTGTAGCTAAAAAGCTAATCTAGCTAGGAGGCATAAAATATATGACAAAGGTAAAATGTGAATGATATTAGAGGAAACTTATTCTCGGCTTTCCTACGTGATAATATATGTTTGTGATGCCACTTTTATAATACTTTAAAACCTTTGCATTCAGGAGGATTTTCATCTTGTAGTGCTTGTGGATTTTTACTGCTTTCTGGATTTTCCTCATCTTTTCTCTCAGACTTTGATTTCAGTGGCCTTCATAAAAAAAATAATAGGTAAGGTGTGCAGCCACCTAGAAAACTGTAGTTAAAAAGCTAATCTACCTTAGAGGCATAAAATATATGACAAAACTAAAATGTGAATGATATTAGAGTAAATTTATTCTCAGCTTCCCTATAGTAAGTGATAATATATTATTTTGTGATGCCACTTTCATAATTCAGGAGGATTTCCAGTGGCAAGGGGCTGAATGTGTAACATTTATGTATTTTACACCCACAGTCTACTTTCTTTGGGTAGAAAACAACAGGAATGATGAACAGTCAAGGCATGGCAAGGAAGGCAAGGCTAATAAAAAAATCATGCATGGTTAATATTTTTGCATGGCTCCCTCCATATTATGCAGACTGTTCAAATACATCAGGGGATGTCTAATTTGTTATCAGCACCCACCACCCCTTAAGATGGATGGAACGCTCAATTTTTTTGTTGTTGCCTTTTGAAAAATGAAGTTTGAAGGGTCCAAGTTTTGTTGGCTTCTTTGACAAAGAAAACCTGATCTTCTGCCATCCTTACAAGTTAGGTGGAGGTGCAGTGTTCACCCTCATTTTAGCTCAGCAGGTAAGGGACCATTCTTAACCGGTAAGGCAAAAAATAATTATATGCTAAAGGTGCACTTTCCTGGGAAGGAAGTGGGGTGAGGGACATGGCCCCAGCCTCACTGGGAAATTTTTTAGGAGCTTAGAAGTTCTCTGAAACATCAATATGTTTCGGTTTTTTAAGACCTATTTTAGGGGAATCCACTGCTATAAGTTATCCGCCATCTGATTTGAGGTTGAAAACTCACAACAAATTTTAAAAACTTACTTTTTAAAGAGCCACTGGGCTTAAAGATCTCCTATAAAGTCCACAGTATACCATTTTTCCTTCAAACTGGTAGTTAAAATCTTTTAGACAACAATTTTTAACATGTGATTCCAATATGTCTTAAAAGTTCTCTTTCCATAATGTGTGACCCATGTATAAGAAAGAAGATCATAATTTGCATCTTTTTTAAAACAACCTGTTTAATTTTAGTGAAACCCTTAAGCGGTAGCCTTTGTACAGACGTCCTCCCCTCCCCCAGAAAAAATTGGGAGAAGAGACGTCTGTGAATCGCCGTTGTTAATCATGTTCCGGTATACATTTGCATAAATTATTTTTTGTTGTTGTTTCATCTGACAGTTGAAAAGGGGTTGACAGACCATCACGACTGGGGACTCTTTTAGACCACGTACGCAGTTATTCTCTCGGATGTGCTCAACATTTATTGCTAAGCTAGGCTCTAACTAGAATATCTAGCTAAAATGTCATTTAAAACGAGTATTTCATGCTTTTAAAGTTTTTTTTTAAATTTTTTGTTAGCTCATAAAGTCTGTCTGCTACTGTACATCAATTTCCTGTGGTTTTTGGTTTGACAGAATCTTGATCTCGGAAGCACTGTTCACATTTCCAGTCAAGCATTTTATGCAGGAGTTGATCCATTCGATGATTTTGAGTAGGTTTCATGTAAAGGATTGTTCACTTCTCTTCAGCAAGAAACTACAATAGCCTTACTTTTGGCTAATTCTATGAGTTATGACCAGCTCATGTAGGCCAAAAAATAGCCCTGGCGTCTGTACACAGGCTAGCCATACATCTTCACGCAATGTCCATGCTAAAATCCAGATATAAGATCTCTGATTAAGCGTTGCTTTCAGTATTTCCACTCGCAACCGGAGCAGCAAACATCAATGGTCTTAATTTCACATGCCTATTCCAGAGAGCCGAAATCAAAGTAAACAAATATAAATGCGGTAAGCTGTCCACAAAGGCTGAGTTTTTCCCCGGGGAATCTATTGTGAGATTCATTCACCAATTGCAACACAGAAAATTATTTGCCTCATGGCATTAACATTACAAGCAATCAGAGGCTGTTCCCAACATTCCGGGGAAACAGGAACACGATTATCGTCGGCGATTCACAGACGTCTCTTCTCCTGATTTTTTCTGAGGGAGGGGGGACGTCTGTACACAGGCTATTAAGCAGTTGCAGGCCGTAATAAGTGTTGCTGCAAGTGGTAAATTTTACCGGTTACTGCCTTATAAGGAAAACACTGAGGGAGGGAGGTTAGGCTGGTGCGGATATAATGGAATCTTCCAATAGAGCAGGTATTTGACTGCACGTGAAATAGGCCACTTCCAAGTTGTCCTAAACCCCTGTGTCAAAGCGAGGCTAGGAATATAGTTTTTATTCTCATGCAAATAAAGGCTCGTTTTGAAACTGAGATTTTGGATCATTGGCTGTGGGACACAATCTCACCAGTTCCTTTTTTTTTACAACGCACATTTCACACACCCTTTTCCACTAACAGACAATAACTATGAAAGAATTATTTATCACATGAACGCATTTCAAGACGACTTTTATAGCTTACCAGGGTTTGAGCAGTTCTCGACATTGACGAACGCAACATTCGGTTTCCCTTCGCCTTTGCAAACAAAGCTTGTACGTCCTCGTTACTTGTTCTTCCAGCCTAACCATGAAGGTAATATATAAATTTAACATAACCTTGAATTGCTACCTATTTGTTACAAAAATGTCAGCTCACATTTTGAGAACTTCGCAAAGCTCCTCGGCGGCCATCTTGCCAACTTAAATTTGTTCCCAGGGCTCCTCGTTTGAAATGAGGGCGCGAAACTCGACTGCAAAATATTCTCCTCTCCCCTACCCGCTAAGGTAAGTAACGTGGAAAGAACAGATCTTTTTTTTTTTAATCTCATTTCTTGTCTTTTATTACTATAGTAATAATAATTATTACACTTCCTTCTTCTTAGAGTGAATTAGACAGATAATAATATTTCGAGTATCAGTAAAATTCTGTTTTAATAATACTTATTTATTTCCTGTGCAGAAATTAGCCAGCGCAGCAGACATACGCACACCGGAGGGAAAAATTTTTGAGGACGCGTGCTCGTGTTCCCCTCGCGCGATCGAAAAAGGACTAACCCTGAAAAAAAACTAATCGGCACAGAGGGCTAGTGAGAAAGTAGCAGCTGTGGAATCTAAATATAAACAAACCGCGGAAATTGGTCGTAAGATGAGGGTATGATATTGAAACAAACCAACCTCTTCATTAATTTGTAACATTTATTTATGATTAGCAACCCCTCTTCCCACAGGTGTTTCTAACCCAAGGTAATCTATTTGTGACACTTATAAATCTATACAAAATAAAACAATTTTACCACTCACGGACACATCAATAACAATACTCTAGCAAGGAACGCACTTCACCAATAGGTGCTCTTAATTCGTGTCCTGCAATTAATTTTAAACTTAGAAGTAGGTTTGCAATTAATTAATGTTATATTAGCAGTATTGCACGGCTAAATTAAAAGTTAACGTAAAATAATGAAAATACATGAAAAAATAAAACATGAAAGAAATTGAGGGCCGCAGTTTTTACAGTTGTCGCCTTTTTTGTTTGGGACAACTGGCATTGACACAAAGGCAAAAGCAAGTAAAGATTGTCTGGAGCCCAAGGGGAAAAGATCGGTAAGTTTCTGAAAAACCTATAAGTGCAAAGAAGAGTTTAACAAAGTTTACTTATTAGAGAATCCTATTTGTCCTTAGAAATACAACGAAGTTTCCTTCAACTTCCTCCTAGAAATGGGAGTCTATTTCAGGTTTTGTCTTCTGGTATCTTGCCTCGTACTTGTCAAAGGTAAGTTAAAGATAGAATTAAATCGAGTAGCGCATGATTCATGCACATCATGAATGCAAGGAAAAAAACAAACAAGTACCAAAACAGAATCATGCCAACTGAGATTAGCTCTTCCGCTCCATTCTTTCAACTTGTAAGCCAAACCGCTTACTTTTTACTGCTTGTTTCAATAATAAAAAGAATCAAAGTTATTTTTAAGACCTACAAATTTAAAAAGGAAAGATAATTGTGCTCGCGATTATTGATTATCTGATGAGAAGTATACCAGTATATTACCCGTCGAGCAGAGGCCCTTCGATCTTCCTGGGCCTCTGCTCTCATGGTAACCGCTATATCAGTTCGGAATTTAATCTCAGAGTGTAAATTTCCACATACGGTGGGAACCTCCACGTGTGACCACCTCCCATAACTATAACCCACCAAGCAACTAGCCGAAACACCAAAATTTGTTTATATTCTTACTATTTTTGCTAGTAAGGCTAAAAATATTTTGTTAAGCATTTTTAAATCCTTTTGATCGCAGTTTTACCAAAACTTCAAAACTGCGATCAAAATTGGCTAGCAACGTTTTCGCCTGCAGCATTCAATCCTGGACATATCTCAAAACTTTTGTGTGGTACAATTTATTTCTGATCATACCAAGCCTTTAGTCATGATGATGTAATATATTCCCTGGTTTAAAGGCAAGTGGTACGTTTTTGAATAGTCTTAGAAAGAATGAGGTTGAAGCCCAAGTTGAATTTACGTTACATGTTATAGAAAGGGATAGGGTCACTAGCTTGAATTTCATCCGATTCCTTCGAGTCGTTTTCTCCTCTCACCAGCTGAGGGAGTAATAACGACTCGAACTAATCGAATGAAATTCAGGCTACAGGGTCACTTGTTTTTGATGTATCAGTTCAGAGGGTCAGTTTGATTGTTTATGTACTTAAATTTTTCTGGAATTTTGGCGGGTCGGCGTGGTAATGTTGTGGTAAGGGAGAGAGATTCAGGATACCAAAGATCTGGGTTCGACCCTGAGTTGCGATCTTCTTTCTTCTTAATAGGAACACTCTCAAGACAGCGACCGTTTACGAACAGGGAAATTTGCTTTGGCGACCACTTTTTGGTTTGACAGTTTTATAATTTTCCCGTTTTTTTGAGCCCTTGTACATAAAGCGACCACTTGATACACTGACTCGGATCTCTATGGTCGCTGTCGGCACTGTAGCTCACTGTATGTACTTCGCTACACGGGGTACGCCAAGACGACGTTTATTTTGACAACATGTAACTTCACATATCGAAATTGCTCGCAAAACAGCTCTACCAACGTAGATGTGTCCAGAATTCTATTCGGAAGAGATTCCTTGTGGTTTGATTCTCGTAAGCGACCGACTCCCGTCATCGACCACTAACCGCTTCTGATTTCGAGTAGTCACTTAAAGATTTACATACTCTGATTCAGATCGACCCGGTCATGCACACACAAGTCTGTCAAGGGGGCAAAATGCAAAAGCAGATTTTTAAGAATATCACAATCCAAGGAGTAACAGAAAACTCACTTGTTTTATTTCTTGTAGGTAATTTTGACAAGTGTCACTGCATGGAAGCCTCGTTCGAAAGGGAAGGCTGCTACGGGGACCAAGAGAACCATCGGTTGCTGAGATACCACATTCTGAATGAAGCCCAAAAGAGAATGACTAACTTCTGGTTGCCGTTTTTGCCTGATTCTGAAAGCAATCCCCTGCCTGATTTTATTTGCCGTTGTGCCGCTGAGGCGAAGAAGCGCGGATTTGACGTCTTTGGTATAAAGAACTACGGTACGTGCAGTGGCGCATCCAGGCGAGAGGCCCGGGGGATGAGACGCCCCCCTCTTATTTTTAGGCCAAACTGAGGTCACAGATGTGTGATTTAGAGTGTTTTTTAGTAAAAAAAAGTCCGGGTTTCCGATCGAGTGTTTCAACGTTTTTGCTACAGGACATGTCGGTTTGCAATCCTGGACATCCGGTAGACTACCGGTGTGAATCAGAACAATATCAATAACATAAGATGACTTTGAATGAAACTACAGTACTGGTATATTTTGTACGGCAAAATTTCATTTGAAATTTTTTTTATTGCTATTGTTCAAATTTGAAAATATAAACATGTTCCAAATCGTTTTTGCTTTTTTTTGTCAAAATACTTCATCTGAAATACATTTTTTACCTATAGTTCCACAAAAAACCGCACACACACAAACACAAACAAACCGAGCCGCATCATGACGAAAATAGAGCTTTATCTCCGGCCGCTTATCGCACTAACAAACCCGTCCATAAAAAATGTAGCCTTCGTCGGTGGAAGAGGAGCTGCAAAGCCGTGGGGAGAATGGGAAGAAGACGCTTTGGAATTTTCTCGCGCCTTCGTTCTCGCTTCTCGCGTCAAAACCGCGAGAATGGCGGCTTTGCCGCGAAAACTTTCACACGCGCGAAAACAATTCTGCCAACTAAAAGGGCCCTTAAAAATGCCGCAGAAATTCAGTTCGGCACTAAATTCTTGTTTGGGCTCCTAATTGAGTTAATTATAAGGTGTGATTTTTCTTCAAGGGGAGTGCTGGGCTGATTACAAGTCGGAGTTGATGAAAAAGGAATGGCCACCCTCTTATCTCCCTCGGTGCACTAATAAAGACTCCCAAAATTGCAAAAAAATGACGAAAGGTATTGCAGTGGAGACGATCAGGCAATAATGACCTACAGAATTATCGGCAAGTACAAACGCTAATACCTCTTCGAATTCCTTGAACGTTTCTTGTTTGAGGGCCAGTCTTGTAGAATTATACTCTCCCACGCAGACGTCATTTTGGCTCGTCACGCAATCGGCAGGAACAAGTGACGAAGCCTAAAGAGCGTCTGCGTGAGAGGCTAGTAGAATTAGCAATCAATTTAATTTTTCGACTTACTGGCAACGTACTTAAAGAAAAATAGTAAAGAAAGAAAGAATAACAACAACAAAAACCAAAACCCTAGACCATTAATTTCCTATATTGGGGGAGCTGCCATCCAGGCAGGCTATAAGAGCATGCGCTTGGGACAAGAAGAACCGCACTCTGAACTTAACGTACACCACGCACTTCGCACCATTGGAATCTGCGTGAATTATCATTTAAGTTACACTGTCGATTAAGGTATATCGATTGATTAAATAGAGTAGTTAAGTAAAGTAAAGTGAAGTGAAGTGAAGGGAAAGGAATGGAAGGGAAGGGAAGGGAAGGGAAGGGAAGGGCAGGGAACGGAAGGGAAGGGAAGGGAAGGGAAGAGAAGGGAATGGAAGGGAAGGGAAGGGAAGGGCAGGGAACGGAAGGGAAGGGAAGGGAAGGGAAGGGAAGGGAAGGGAAGGGAAGGGAAGGGAAGGGAAGGGAAGGGAAGGGAAGGGAAGGGAAGGGAAGGGAAGGGAAGGGAAGGGAAGGGAAGGGAAGGGAAGGGAAGGGAAGGAAAGGGAAGAGAAGGGAATGGAAGGGAAGGGAAGGGAAGGGAACGGAAGGGAAGGGAAGGGAAGGGAACGGAACGGAACGGAAGGGAAGGGAAGGGAAGGGAAGGGAACGGAAGGGAACGGAAGGGAAGGGAAGGGAAGGGAACGGAAGGGAAGGGAAGGGAAGGGAACGGAACGGAAGGGAAGGAAAGGGAACGGAAGGGAACGGAACGGAAGGGAAGGGAACGAAAGGGAAGGGAAGGGAAGGGAAGGGAAGGGAACGAAAGGGAAGGGAAGGGAACGGAAGGGAAGGGAATGGAAGGGAAGGAAAGGGAACGGAAGGGAACGGAAGGGAAGGGAAGGGAAGGGAACGGAACGGAAGGGAAGGGAAGGGAACGGAAGGGAAGGGAAGGGAAGGGAAGGGAAGGGAAGGGAAGGGAAGGGAAGGGAAGGGAAGGGAAGGGAAGGGAAGGGAAGGGAAGGGAAGGGAAGGGAAGGGAAGTGATGTGAAGTTTATTTTAACAGGATGGCCCATTCAGCTCGGGGGCTGGTCTCCATAGGGGCCCTGCGTCTTAAAAACTACTTGACATTAAGAATCTGAAATTACATTTTAGAAGTCTAATAAAGGCGTAGGCCAAACAACGTCGAACTTTTCATGAGAAGAACCAATCATGGCAAGTTAAGTTCATGAAAAGTTCGACATCTGTCCCAGTTAAGTTCGTCTGAATGAGTTTGGATCGTCCAACACGTTCTATTGGTCTGCTTCAGACGGATAAAACGTCTGAAGATCATGTCCGGGACAAACGTCGATCTTCCCATGCAGCGAACTAAACTAATAAATTAAAGATTTGTATGATAATGTATATTTTTTAAAAAAAAGTGCTGTCTGGTCTGATTGGTTCGACGAGTCCTAAGTTCGACGTCTGACCCAACAGACGATCCTAACTTACACTGTAATTTAGGTTGACTCAAATTTTGAGTCTGGTTCGTCTCATGAAAAGTTCCACGTTTGGCCTAGGCCAAATGTAGACTAATTAGAGACTGATGAATTTTCTATTCGTGTAACTGTTCCATAACCTGTCATTAGAACTAATATTTCATTTCGTTTTACAAATAACCCCCTGACGAACGCCTCTTTGTCCTACATCCAAGACCACTGTAGTGTCACTTTTAAGAAGCTTGGCTGCTACAACGATGATACCACAGGCGAGAAAAGTTTGCCAAATTACATTCTTAATGACCGCGATCCTACATCACCATCCTGGAGCGGAAAATACATCGACTGGCAGAACTGGTACGAATATCTACCCGATTTCCTCTGCCGATGCGCAGAAAAAACTAAACAGAGAGGATGGAAAATGTTTGGCATAAAATTTTGGGGTTCGTAATTTGATATTATACTGTTTAATTATCTTTAAAGGGGCTATGCATAACTATGCCACGAGGACATTACGGTTTGAGATCAATTCTGTGCAGGGGTAAAGTCATTATTTTAGGCTGCGTGCAAACGGACGCAACAACTCCCAACATGGTTGCGAATATTGGGAGTTGTTGCGTGCGTGTTGGCAGTGGTGTGCAAACGTATGCAACAACTCCCAACAATGTTAGGACCTGTAGTGCATCTGGAACCACAGAGATATTCCTCCCGAAAGGGGTACCTTTTACAGGATTCAGGGGGTCAATTTCATAAAACTTTTACAAGTGTAATTTACAAGTGTAGCTTCTGAAGTGTAGCTATTGCTTTCGGACCCTAAAACAATAACTTCACTTATAAATTACACTTGACCCAGGTGTATGAAAGCGCACTTCATGGCTGCGGCATTTTATTTATTAAACGCTACAAGAAAAATCCCGTAAGTAGGTATGTATGAGAGGTACCATTCTTTTAGTGGGAGCAGGGGCAGATCTAGGGGGAGGGTGCAGGGGGTGCGAATTCCCCTTTCCCCCCTGAGATGACCTGCGGTTTTCTAATACAACTGGTATTCTGCCAAAAAAAAACTACGTGGTTTATTGGTGTTGAAGTAGAGCAAGAGACGAGTGCACCCCCTCCTAAAAAAAATCCTGGATCCGCCCCTGGGGAGGTATACAAAAGGGGCACCTATTCCAAAATGGTGTATAAAAATGGACCTTGCGACGGAGCAAGATTAATTGTTGTACGGTGAGTAAGGATTTTAAGCATAGAAGATAACAATTAACAAAACTCGGTGGATGGGCTGTATTTAGTAACTTTTACCCAGAAAGAGATACTCTCTCACGCTTTTTAAAAGACCTTACATTTAAAAATATCTCACCAACCGCGACCACTCTATTCCACAGGGGAATGTTGGAGTGGCCCAAACGCACAGGACACCTTCTTTGCTCAGGGTGCGGCAACTGACTGTAACAATGATCAGTGTTGTGACAATCAGTGTGACGCGCAATGTAGACTGGAGGACAGTTACTGCACTGGCAGACACCTGACCGCTGCTGTTTACGGTATCGGTAAGTACCAAGTGCGGCGTCATAGCGTGAGCCCGCGGTCACTGAGCAGAATTTCTGCGGTATTCCGGAAGGTTGGACGTTTTTTCATTGCCTACAAGATTAGCCGCTTTAGAAACGAAGGAGACTGGGCCGAGTTAGCTTTCGCAACGACTTCTGGGACTGTTTCTAGGGCGGGAAAAAATTGGCCAATAGCTGACCGGCGCGTCCCTAGTATTACGATCCTAGAAACAATTTGCGGGACACATTTCTGTTCCAGTCCACTTCTCGTTTCTAAAGTGGAGACATGCGCAACTGCAAGCATCCTTGCGTGACGTGTAAACCGGCGAGAAAAAGGCACCAACAATTAATTGCAAGGTACAAGCATTTACACCGAAAACTGAGTGAAGAAATACTATGCTATACCCAAGGATCGCTATTGTATGTTATGAACGTGCAGTTCTGGCACTTGCGCTCACCATCCTTTGACGACATTTGGAGTTTTTGGTGACCCGTGATCTACTTTGCTTTTACAATGGTTTCAGGAATAGACCTTAGCATATAAGATTCTTCATTTGCGCCCCATTTCTAACTGAACAATTCTGCCCAAAGAAAGAAACTAGGGCCTTAAAAGTCGGTAAAAAAAAAAAAACATGTTCTATGTTCTGAGCGGCGCCTGAAGTCGCCCGCACCCAAGCTTGAGGCTGTATTGTTAAAAATTATAAAAGGAAAAAAGGAGATAATTCCTTCTTTGCAGTTGATGAGTCAGATGATGAGAGTGCACAAGATACTGACATCAACTCATGAAGTCATATCATGCTGGGTTTGGGAATCATCAATGGAAAGCGATTAAAGTGGTATAGACGACACCTAGCAGTAATTCTCAAAGTAAAAAAAGTGGTTTTGTTGTAAGACTGCGGACTTTATTTTATGATTAAAATAAAAAGGGGGAAAGATGATGAGCTGTGTATTTGCTTAACATATTCTAAAAGTACGCCCCAAGTCTTTTGAAATAGTCTAAGGCTATGTTGACGCTTGTACCGATACAAAACCATATCGGATAGGGCTCTGCCTCGTACCCAGACGTCTCTCTTTTGATGAAAATGTGCGCGCAAAGGAAGGCGGGAAGGAGACAACGGGCGAGACTGCCGTCTGTACCCTTCCCATGGTCCCTTGCGGTTCATCACCGGTCACTTGTTTCGCGCTCGCCTCTGCCATGCGAAAAACGAAGGGCCTGAGGAGGAGGCTGTGATAGGGCTTCTGTTCACACACAAGAACGCTGATTTCGGCGCGAAGCTGCGCCGCGCTGATCTTGAAAGTGGATCTTTACGTATTGGATAGTTTTCTGCCACTCTTCGTCGCAGTGTGAACAGCTAATTAGACCGTAACGGATGCAAATGAGTAAGAGAGAGGACTGGAACCCAGTGAGACGGAAGTAAATATTCAGAAGTGAGGCACGATGTTTGATGTGTGCGAACGACTTGTTCGATTATGTACCGTTGTCGTTCATACTGTAATGGATCTGCCTCGTGCCCAGATGTCTCTCTCGTGCGCGCAAAGAAAGGCGGGAAGGAGACAGCGGGCGTCTGCCGACTGTACCCTTTCCATGGTCCCTTGCGGCTCATCACCAGTCGCTTGCCTCTACCTTACGGAAAATGAAGCGCCTGAGGAGGAGGCTGGTAATAGATAGCTTTTCACGTCGACACGAAAAGCTATCCGGTATGTGGTAGGTATGTCACCGACCGAGCTAACATATTTTACAAACAAGCAGTCACCTGATGACGCTTTCTATTCTGAGTGAAGTCCGGGCGCACTCTTTTTCTGTGTTTCTTTTCCTTGACTGAGAGCTCCTTTTTTTGGTAGACGTATCGCACGTAAGACATCCCTTTAGGCTATTCGCATCTTCAAAGTCACGTCATTTAACGGTGACTTTAGCCAATAGTGATGCTGTTAGTGTACTTCTGCTATAAACAAAGCAGGTACATTCACCCAGCGTTACTTTTTGGTCCTGCTAGCAGGGTGTAGAGAATAGGATTACCTAGATGTTCATCTTTCGTGACGTCTTAAGCCCTTTCCTCTGTAATCTCGGTTCCACTTCCCTCTAGAATACCCAGAACACACGCAGAATATGCGGCAACCTCTGATGTAATGTTTGCGACAAAAACGCGAGTGTTTCCTTCGGAAATATGAATTATATTCGTCGCCGTTTGCAGTTTCTCGAGGACACCACCGGTGACGTCGTGTTTCAGAATCGACGTTGCTATGGCAACCGATAACTTCCCGTCAGGCTTCACGAAAACTTTCCGTAGCAAATTAGCATCTACAAAATTAATAACAGAGACAATTTAAAAGTGGGGTAGGGGATGATGAGTGGGGCCAGTTAGAAAGTTATAAAAGAGAAGGTGGGCTAGTAAACGTGGTAAAGCCATTAGGATTATGCTCATTTGTGATTGAATAAGGTGTTCAGTTTAACAGAGTACCAGCGCGAGAAATTTGGCAAGCAAAACATTAAGAAAACTTGAAGCATGACTTTTGATTAAATTACGAACAGATCACCTTTACGGGACAGTCATTTGTTCAGTGGGGAAACGCGCGACTAATCGGCTCCTGTCGTGAACCTGTCGTTCATGTTTGCTGGTGGTACAAAGGAGTTGATTTGTTGGTACAGTTGAAAGTCTAAAATTAAGAAATATCAACAAGTGGTAAAACTGCATCACTGACCTTCCTTTTCAGGAGGTTTGTCGTAAATTCCATCAACATCAGTCAAAAATACAACCCTTTTTGGGCGCAAATGTTCTACCAAATTCTGCAGAATAAGATAAAATTGTTTTAGTATTTTCATGTACGACCACAGTGCATACATGCTCTATAATGCACAACTGCAGCTTGGTATTCAGACAAATGACCCTATGAAAGTACCCCACCTAGTATAGTTAAGGTCTTAGTAAATTCCAAGCATGTCCACTCTCTAATTCCTTCTGATAGGGGATTTGTCAAGTTACGTTGAGCGTTACCATAATGAGTGACCATCAAATGCCTACCTGGGGGGTGGGGCATTGTCAGTTCTTCCCACATAACCGAATTCACATAAATTTTAAAATACTCAAGCAAAAGCTGGCTCACTGAAAGATATTCGTCCTTGAAAAGTGATCTGAGTTTATTAGTGCGGTGAACACCAGCCTCTGGACATCCCACAATACATTCATTTCAGAAGAAAAAGGTTGGATAAGCACGTAAATAGGATTATCTTCACAAAGCAACCAAAACTGAACTATCTGAATAGGAGAGCAGCAGAACGATTTGCAGTTTTATTTAGAGGTAAATTTTAAAGACTGCAGCTTGAAATTTTGTGTTATTAAGTGCCTCTTTTGGAAAGAACATAACCTAGCAGAGAGTATTCTTGTCCGTCTGTTACAAGTCAAGAAAATTAATGCTAAACTTTGATCATTTTCTGGTTTTAGAGGTGGTAATTTTGATTGATACCATCTCAAATTTCTTTGCTGGTCACTATGACTTTAAATGTTATTATAAAAAATACTGCTGTTTGGGTGGGGTATTTGCACACTATTTTGGGGGCCCACGTTAACTGGGCTTTTGTACAAATGGATGGCCCCACCATGCAATTTGCTGTTGACTGAAGAAAAAACAAAACTGCCTGCCTTGGGGAATGCATGCTTGAAATATTGACTGAGACATTGATAAAACTGTCAGTTACCTCAATAATTTTGTCTCCGCTAAGAATAGCACATCCTTGTACATCATCCAAAACACAGTCACCATGAAGTATTGGTACAAACCCACTTCTTAACAGTTCCACTACTGGTTTGACTGCTGACCTTGTTACAATACCTCCCCTTGTCAGCCAGGATCCACAGGGCTACAACAAAAATAAAGGAAAGTGCAAATGATGTGTGGCCTGCGAAAATTTTCCTTGCTAACTCAAACAGGTAATGACAATGACGATGATAATGACATTTGATACTTACTGAAATTTACCTGGATTCTTGCCTTACATGTATACAGGACATGCAGGGTCTCTGTGGTAGTTAAATTCTGTTTTTTTCTTGGTTTAAAGTCTCTTTATTTCAAACTGATTATAATACATTGCTAAACAAATATATTAATAAATAAACGTTGAACCAGGCATAAAATTGAACCACAGCATCTGTTATCTACACCAGAAAATATTTAGCAGGATTAATACCTACTGAAATTCCCAAAGCTGGAATGTTGTTAGCTATAAAGACTTCAATGATCATGTGATGTAACTGCATAAAAAATAAGATGAAACAGGAATCAAACATTGAACTGTTACACAAAACTAATATGTCTTACCATTTGATGAGGTATTGAGTGGGCTTATGATCTATTTTGGAAGGGCCAGGGATGGGTGTAGCCTCTATCAGGCTCTCGGTCAGTGCACATGAACAAAAAATGTGAGCTGGTGGTGAAATAGTGAATGAGGCAAAAAAAAGCAGGAAGAGAGAAGGGGAGAGCCTGTAAACATCTTTTCAAATACCTCATTCAAGGCGACTGCCCCGCCCACTTCCTTCAAAGCCATTTCTCATGTCAAAATGTCAAAACGTCAAAAGGTGCAGCATAAGAGGGTTTCACATGCTCAACACATTTGTTAGACTCTGGACATGCAAAGCCAAATGATTGATGTAAGTGTTGAAATATCAAACTGTCACAAATTGACCAATCATAGGGTATATCAGTAGCTGGTATATCGGAAAGAGGTTTTGAAAACAAGCACACTTACATTTTAAGAAAATATTCTTCTTAGTCTTATAATTAAGACCTTCTTTATACCATTAAAGTGTGTTAAATGGTGAATTCCAGTTGAGCAAACAAAAATGGATCAGATTTGTAAAGCTGCCATCTTCTGATTTGTCAACAATTGCTAATGTCAACAAAAAGTCAACAAGGATAGAACAAGACTATTGCAGTCAGGACAATACTTTTAATTGTAGATAGAACCTCATCAGTATTTTGACTGTGAAACTGTGAATGTTAAGAGTTTTTTTAAAGATTATTTTATACCTTGTGAACTGAAAGTCTGGTCTTTGCAAATCCAATCCGGGCCTTTGCAGGATCATCTGCAGTGAATCCATTAGCTGTCCCATATTCATGAGCCTGGAAGTGCCCAAATGAACTAAAACATGGAGCAGAAGCAAATACAAAATATCAACCTCTTTCCCAGAGTTTTCTCAGATGAGAGAATCTGCTGAGAACAAGGTTGGACAAAAATGACCAAAGTGACCAAAACAACGGATAAAAACAAAAACAAAAATTACCAAAACGACCAGGATGGGTGGGGCAATGAAATGCCCTGGCAATGAGGTTGATTGTAAATATAAGGGAACATACTAATGCAACAGAGTCCAATTTCCACTTAAAATGTGGTTTACAGTATTTCTAATGATAAGGGTGACTGGGAAACTCCCTGAAAGGGGGGTCTCTGGGTGCTCTGGGACTACCCTTTCACCTCAGATACACTTCCACGGAGGTAATCAGGATTTATACGATGGATTTATAGTAATGGAGAGATATGAATCTGGATGCCCTCAAAACTCCCGTTCTATTCTCTATCGCTACGCTCAGCCAAATAGAAAATATTTCTGTTATAAGTGTGACGAGACAAAACAACGCAATGATAAATGGAGGGAGCTGCAAGCAATCAATTTTATACTACCAGTGAAAGTTACAACAAAAACAAGGAATATATGCAAAAAATACAGATACAGAGCACTAAGAAAAGCTAGATTAAAAATACATGATGACAAGTTATGCTGAGCAAAAAATTAAAAAACTAAACAGAGTCAGATCATTTTAAAAAAGCGATGCGAACATGCAAGTACAAATTAAACTTAGGTAAACCTATATAAACCTCCTACATAAGAAAGCGAAAAAAGCACCCACGAGTAAACTGGTCGGCTTCAAGTGGTGTGAAATTCACGAGGAGTGGTTTATAAAGGATCTAATGGTCCCAATGGGAACTGAACTAAACAACGTAATCAACAACTAAAAGAAATACATATCTCTCCGTCAAGGCAGTCACGCAACGCCGAGGCTGCTTCACAGACTGAGAGAAAGAAAGCAGCCTGAAGTGGATTGTCCTGGAATATTTGCTATTTTTTAACGACGAGTAACAGGAAGTAAACAATGATTTGTTTCAACAGGCTACAAAATTCACATTTTTCACATAAAATTGTATCAAAACCATAAAATCCTACGTTTTTGGTGCATAAATTGGTGCATATATATCGCGATCGAACAATTTAAAAGAACCTTACCCGGCTCCATGTATGACAATGCACTTCCCATTTATCTGTTTCACCAGCTTGGCCGCTGCTAGAATCGCATCATGTTTAACAGTTTCAAAAGTATCCTTCTGTGTAACCGCACAGCCACCAAGTTTCACAATCACTTCTACATCACATCTGTCTGCCATAATCACGGACGAGAAGGCGAAATGCGAAATCTGCCAGGCGTGTTTCTTTCATCCAGACTCCCTCGTCTGTCTCGTGCCCAGGGGTTTTTGGACACTTCTCAAGTGGCCATCACCAGATCAAGGAGTATGAAGCATTGGGGATCGGCGAAATAATAAAGCGTTCATTATTCCATTCCTTTTAATTCTCAAAAAAATTCGTTTTTTCATCTCGTTATTCCACCAAAAAGGACATTATTTCATTATTTCAACTCCAAATTTCCGTTACACCTCTTCCATCATCCGGGAAACCACGCCACGCTTCTTCCAGTCGAAGAGAATTTTGTTACCTTTGGGATTCACAGGTATATTGGAATACCACTATCCCCTTCCCATACCAACTGCCCGATGTCTCGGATTCAGGAGTCATCTCACAAATAAAATAAAACCAAACGAACAAACAAAGAAAAAAAAGCGGCGGGGGTGGGGGGAGATAAAAAACAAAATCATTATTACCAAGGTGGAGATTTTTGAAAACGCCGGCTTCTCGTTTACGTGTGTACGGACGAAAACTTCGTCGTCCCAATTTCCTCGAAGAACTCGCGCGGAAACGCTTGCTACTCAGGCTAGAGGTTTACGGATACGATGACTAATGATACATCATGTACTTACTAGCATTACGTGCATGCATCGTTTTAGCTTTTTCATATAAGCGGGCGAAAACGATTGAAAAGGGATAAAAAGATCACCGTTTTTCAAAAATATCCGGATACGTGTGGACAGGGCCTCACACTAAGTGTGACAGATGTTTGATGCAACCACTTTTAATTACAAGTATCTTCTTATCTAATGATTTTTGTATTTTTACTGAGATGGATTTACCTACCCGTAAAATAAATTACTGAAAGTTTGACCGTGACTACCACGTCAATCAAAGGAATTTTGAAACAGGGATCGAGTGCTCAGTGCTACTTCTTTCAGTTCACGAGTGTTAAAAAGTCTTCTTTCTTTCTTCTATCGGAATTCGAAAAAACCATCCAGTGCGCGAGTAGCACTTAGTAACGCAGATGTGCCGAAAAATAGACGGTGAATCAGATGTTGCATTAATTATACATCTTTGATGGATCCATTTGACTTTGCATTGTGTTAAATAATTTATTTCACGTGTTTTGTAAGCCAGGATTCTAGAAAATAAACGCTTGATTCACGTCGTGATGTATCACGCAGACGGCAGCAAAATTTACCCAAGGCGAACTAGATCACGACGAACTACTGGCCCCAGGCTTAATACGACAAGCCACATTAATAAAGAGCAACTCAAACAACTACAAGAAGCATTTAATCTCATCGACCAAGACCGTGATGGCGTTATAAGCAAGGACGACCTCCAGACAATTCTAATTTCACTCGGTCAAAAACCCACTGACATGGAAGTTAGAGAAATGCTGAATGAGGTGCCCGGAAGTGTGGATTTTGCTCGATTTTCGTCCATGTTTGCCTCCAGAATGGGCACCGCAGATCCTGAAGATTTGATACTAAACGCTTTCAGGTGTTTTGACGAGGACTGCGATGGAGTCATAGATCTGGATGAGTTCAAAGAGTCATTAATGACCACGGGTCTAAGGCTGACGGAGCAACAGGTAAAGTATGCGATGTCGCTTGTATAAAATTGGTTTGATTTTTATGAACCTACAATCTTGGACAAAATAGATGGAACGTTTAGAGCCCCCTCCTCACAAATCAAGGTTGGCAAAATCCTTGATTATTTCGGGGTGATGAGGGTTTCCTCCAAGCAGGCGATTTCCACCGCTCTCTCGGTCCTCCCTGGGATAAGAGCTAAGGGACCGGTCATTATTTACCGCCGGGGGGGGATTTGGGGCTAAACGAGGTGAAATTTAGCCGATCCCCCACTTTGAATGTTACTTAACTGAAGTGGTCTCCCCTAATAACATAAGATGACTTTCACGATCCCCCCACGTCTTCATTTTCCATGTAGGCAAATTTGAGTGGTCCCCCCTGAATCCTTCCAAAGCTTTCAGTGATCCTCCCTTTTGGGTTCTCAGTTACGACTCATCTCCCCTTTTATTCCCCTAAAAATCAAGTGATCCCCCCAAAATCCTCGCCGCCCCTCCCCTCCCCCTCCCTTCCAGGCGATAAATAATCACCGGTGCCTAAGGCTCATTGGTAGTTCAGCCTACTCTCCTCGCCAAAAATCCTTGAAACCCCCATACACTTCCCTTTACCTCAGCAATGTTGATGTGATTGCGAAGTTACGTGTCCACAACAACATTGCAAAAGGGAGGTGGAAAAGAAGAAAGAAAGAGGGAAATTTTCCAAAGTGTTTCAAGGTTTTGTCAAAGATTGTAAGTTTGCTGCGGCTTTCAGCTAGTTTACAAACACTACTAAAACGCGCATGTCAGTAAATCAACGACGACCCTCGAATTGCTTTGGATGTTGGACTGCCGAGTGTAAACGCTATTCAGATTAAAGTTCGATTTTGTTTAGACACTCGGACACACTGTACCTCAGCAGTTGCTTTCAGATGAGCAATGCTCCTCTAATCAGCAGATATTTTTACTTCAGGTTGATGAGGTTTTCCTTCATGGAATGTTAACTGATGAGCATGGCAGATTTAAATGCGAAGACGTCGTGAAACTGCTAAAATATGGAGAAGGAAACTGTAGGGACGGAAGTTAAACTTTAATTTTTGTTAATTGTTCCTAGTTTGTCAATTTTTTTCTTTAACCTGTTAACTGAGCAGAAGGTGGTCGTCCTGGTTATAATCTAACAAACATAATGGTGACCACTTGGTAGATACTAATAGGAATTAAACTACTTTTCAACTTTCTTTATGCATTTACCATTTAAACCTATCTGGCAAAGGTAGATCGTTGTCTGGAGAAACTTAATAGACACAAAATAAAGGCCAAATGACCACTTTAAACGCCACATTTGATCCGTTTGTAGGAACTTTGACAAGAACGGATTATGGCTTCGTTCACTTCTCCTCAACACCTCGAATTTCTCGACAATGCTTGCATGAAAATACAAAATATGGAGTTCAAAACCTCCAAAATGGACCAAACAGCTCTTCAATATTGATGTAATAGCTTTCTCGGCCTCTCAGAGTCGATTGAATCAAAACGACACACATGCGCAGAAGTGTGTCACAGACACTTAAATTCGCGGGTCTTAAATTTCGCAGTTTTCGCGATTGTTCAGACAATATGGCCACATGAAAGTTCAAAGAATGAAATTCCTCACGAGCTTACGTTTTCTGGTTATTTTCATTTTGTACTGTCTGTTGTGAAATAATGACTCAGGGGCGGATCTAGGGGGAGGGTGCAGGGCGTGCGCAACCCCCCCCCCTGAGATGACCTGCGGTTTTCTAATACAACTGGTATTCTGCAAAAAAAAACTATGTGGTTTATTGGAGCTGAAGTAGAGCAAGAGACGAGTGCACCCCCTCCTAAAAAAATCCTGGATCCGCCCCTGTGACTAATTTGAAGAGCTTTCACCTATGGGGTAGAGAATCTAGCTCTCATCTTCATCTGAATCGTTTTGCTTGATTACTTCATGAGAAAGGCTTTCCGAAACGAAAAGTAAATGAAGTTGAAAATGCTCGAATGACGAAATTTAATTTTGTCTACTGAAATCGCGAAAGGAACATGGGCCGCCAACGACCGAATGTTTCCAAATACGCCAGAAGTGTCTCAAATGGTTTTCTCTGTGCTTTGGAAGCCCGTTTGGCTAATTTGGAGTTGCCCTAAAAACTATTTATTTGTTCTGATGTCTTAGGGGAACTTTGTTTGTCACGTAAGTTCTTAGAAGGCTTTTTCGTCTCATCCGAAAGTGTTGGCTAAGCTTATGGGTCTGGTCGAAAGTTTGAGGACATGAAGTAGCCTTGCTTTCATTACAAAATTATAGGGGACATTTGCCTTTATACCGAAATTTTTAGGAGATCTTTTTTAACAATAATCGCAAAATCTTGGAATTAAAATGTTAATAACACAACCTCCCAAAATCGTTGTTAATGGAACGATTATCTAGAAATTTTTAGCTTTTCTCAATCTTTAGAAAAATTCTAAGCAATATTTGCTCGTTTTACAGAAAAAGTCTTTGGAATCCCTGAAATAAAACCCCTGCGAAATACTGTATTGCCTAAGAACCAGCGCCGTAGCTAGTATGAGGCCAACCGAGGCACTCGCCTCGGTAAAATTTTGACGAATTTCACCGATCATTTTTATTTTACATAAGCGATCATCGGATATTTTTAACGCATCATGATATTACAAAGAATTCAGCAATTCAGTCAATATACTATGAAAAAATTACCATATCATCGATCTCAAGGGGCTACGTACGTTAACTCAAATTTTTTTTGAACAAGTACTGATCAAAACCATTGGCGTGGTTAACGGTCACCCAGATTATGTAGCTTGTTTCTGATTATTGCTTTTTAAATTCCACTTAAATTAACTCGAAAAAAAGTTACCGAAAGGCCCAGAAAACGCTGCAAATCGCATTTCCGAGAGACTAAAGTTCAAAATTTCTCGGGGGGGGCATGCCCCCGAACCCCCCTAGCAACTCCCGCCTGCCTCGGTTGGCCGTTTGGTCTGGCTACGGCACTGAGAACCAATAAGTCCATGCAATAAGGTAATTCGTAAAAATGTGGAAAAGAGCTGAAAAGGGAGGGTTCACATGTGGACGAATAACCCGTTTGACTTTATCCCTATGTTTACCCAACTTTCTTCAGTTTCGTCTATTTTTACCGATTCAGAACAATTCTAGAGATCTGACCACTGAAACAGGATTTTGCTGTTCCGTTGTAAAAATGTAAATTGTAAAATTGCTTGTCTACCCACGAAGCACATAGAAGTTCATATGAACTCGTTTAAACGTGTTCGTACGTTCCAGATCGAATTGGAATTTGGAAATGTTGGTTTTTTTCCACCTCCAAAGCCAGGGAAAAGCGCCCTGGGGACGAGGTTGTTGGTTTTTGAGGAGAGGGGAAAACGGGAGTACCCGGAGGAAAACCTCTCGGAGCAAAGGAGAGAACCAAGAACAAACTCAACCCAAATATGACGTCGACGCCGGGAGTGAAACCCAGGCCACATTGGTGGGAGGCGAGCGCTCTCACCACTCTCGGCTGCGCCACCCTTGCTCCCCGTTTGCTAGAGGGGTTCCTCGTCGGGGACAGCTCTTCTAGCAACAGGACTCCAGGACTCTGACAAAGCTTTGATACTTTTCTTCTTTTTAATTACTGACAGCAACACAAAGTTCTTCAGCTCAGCTTCTTACAACAGGTTATCACTAACTGCTAACCATCCAACTATACAACTTATTTGTCTCGCTTGCGTAAGCTGCAACGTGTTTTTCGCCCCGGGGGGTAGTCCCTTATATAGGCTATATGGGTATGTATGCATTATCATTGTTATAAATTGTAACTTTATGTTACAGCTTTTGCAATACTGTAACTACACAATTAAAGTCTTGCAAATAAAGCTTATGTTGTTGTTGTTGTTGTAGTCAGGTGGCTAAAGGCTCAGATCTATACAGAGTGGACAAAAGCACCAAACTTTGCATGGTTGTAGCTTAGGGCATGTTAGTCAATATTAGGATCGGTGCCCACAGCTACCTCTTCAGGATTTGCAGCAACTGCTCGCTGAAGTTCTTCAACAACCTTCCATGATGGGTGCCCTGTGCTGAAAATTGCAATCACTTGTTTTTTGCCATTTTTTGATGAAAATCACATAAAAAGGGAAGTAGATGGAAAAAGAAACTGTATTAATACTATTATTATTGAAACCAATGACTAAAACAAGTCAACTTAATGATACAGCAATTATGATATACCATGGTGGGTATCCTGTGCTAATAATATCAATTCCTTGACTTTTGCCATTATTTTGATGAAAATCACATGAATGACAAGAAAATAAAAAAAGAAATTGTATTATTATTGAAACCAATGACAAAAACAAGTCAACTAAATGGAAAATCCAAGGAAGATGTTTTCAGTTGCGTATTCAGTCCCAAATAGCCTTTCAAGATGGCGGCTTGAAGGTGTCTTTTCATGGACTGTAAGTATCTGCTAGAATAAATTGCCGTTTTTTAGGGGAAATTGTGCACAATTTGAATCACGACAGGTTTAAGTGAAGTTTTCAGCTCTTCTTGGTGATAAATTTGTTATCGAAAGCCACATTTTCGCTTCATATTTTGTGCCGATTATGAATGACTATACTGAGTTTATTAACTTACTGGTTAGTTAAAGGTTTCTGAAGCTGAGATGTTTTCTACACACCAGGATGGATATAAACTGGGATCGTTGTTATATTTGCCAAGAATCAACAAAAGAAGATTTGAGAAGCCCACTGGTTCAACGGTACAAGCATTAATTTATAGGACGCTCCTTGAAAATGTACTAAAAAGGCTGACGTGCGAAATAGGCATACATGTCAGAGGAACGCAAGAAGAAAAGTGGAGCAGCTTGGGCCGAGGTAGACGAGAAATTAAATAAATCAAGAGCATTTGTTGAACTCACTGAGTACAAAGCAAATGCAGTGGACAATGATACACATTTCTTTATACTTGCCGAACTTCATATTAAGCTGTATTCGTTACAAACAAAGGCACACACTTTGCAGTCCCACTATAGTGTCAGTCTTACAAGCTCGTTTGGTGCCACTATCTGCAACTTGCTATTTCTGATCTGCTTCAACAAGCTTTTTTCTGTTTTCTAGTTTGGTTTTTTAACTTGGACGTAAGGTGACAGGATTGATGCCTCTTTGCACTTCAGTAACGTTTTTACTACTGTAGTGATTTCAATATGAAACTTAATTGCAACAAGACGGCACAGTCCTCTTTCTTGAATTCTAGTAAATTGTCAAGGAGCGTTCTATAAATAATTGTTCCGTTAAATTAATGGGTTTCTCAGATCCTCTCTTTTCGATTCTCACCCTAGGTAAATATGACAACGATCCCAACTGATTTCCATCTTGGTGTGTAGAAACGAGTTTAAACTCAATCATGATAAGACTGAAATCATGCTTATCTTGTCGATGTACCGTACTCGTCCACCCTTTAGCGACGTCACTATGGGTAATGCAAGGCTAAGAACCACCACCAACAAAGCCTGGGGGTAGTATTTGATGACAACGTGCTGTTTGACGCACACGTCTCAGCATTCTTTTGCAGATTATCGTTTCACCAACTCAGGAACTTATCAAAGATAAGAAAGTGTCTCACACAGGAGTCTAGCGAAATTGCAGTGCATGCTTTTAGTACATCTAAAACAGACTATTAATTGCAATTCCTTGCTCTATGGTTGGAGGAAAATGCACCTGAAGGAACTTTTAATAATATGTTCAGAACAATGCCCCCAGGATCGTTACTCGGACTCGTAAACTTTGCGAACACATCGTTTATTTGACCTTTACTGGCTTCCTGTTAGTTATCATGTTGTTTTTAAACTTATTTTGTCAGTTTTCAAATCACTTAATAACCTTCCACCTAGCTATCTAGCGGACAGTTATCGAAGGCCTTCCAGGAACTTGTGGTCCGCATCTCAGCAGCTCTTAGAACAACCTCGAAAACTCACGGGGAAAAGACTTTTTCAGTGTGTCCCCCTAAACTGTGGAACTCACTACCATTAGCTAGATTTTCACAAGTCACCATCTTTAGCCAGTTGAAAGAAAGGACTGAGAACATATCTTTTTGCGCAATATTTAGAGAGTAAGTCAATACTTTTGTAAAACGTCTTTAATATCTGCAGATCATATACCTATACTTATAGAATGTATATTCAGTTTTTGCATGACTTATTATCATTATATATAAACTTTAAAGGCAAAATAATTTTAAAACAGATGAATTCTTGTTTCCTTCTCTTGTTCTTTATGAATTGCAAATAGATTTTAATATATGTTATTTCTTGCTCGAGATATAATTTTTTTTCCTCTTTAACATTGTAAAGCACTGTGTGCTCAGGATATGAGCGCTATAGAAAGAAGCTGTTTAAACTATTATTAATTTTAACCAGTACGAAAATAAACTCAGTATACAGTCAACTCTCTCCAAGACGGACACTTTTGGGACAGGAACTAAGTGTCCGTCTTAGAGAGATGTCCATCTTATAAAGAGTCAAATAAAGGGAATAAGCAAAGGCAGGGACCAACTCAAGGTGTCCGTGTTACAGAGGTGTGCGTCTTATAGAGGTGTCCGTTAAGAGAGAGTGACTGTAGTCATTCATAATCGGCACAAAATGTGAAGAGAAAATGTGGCTTTCGATAACAAATTTATCACCAAGAAGAACTTAAAATTCACTTAAACCTGTCGTGATTCAAATTGTACACAATTTCCCCTAAAAAACGGCAATTTATTCTAGTAGATACTTACAGTCCATGAAAAGAAACAGCCAACATCTTGAAAGGCTATTTGGGACTGAGTACGCGTCTGAAAACATCTTCCTTGGATTTTCCATTTAGTTGGCATGTTTTTTTCATTGGTTTCAACAATAATACAATTTCTTTTTTATTTTCATGTCCATCATGTGATTTTTATCAAAATAATGGCAAAAAAAAAGGAATTGATATTTTTTTAGCACAGGGCACCCACCATGGTACATCATAATTGCTATATCATTAAGCTGACTTGTTTTAGTCATTGGTTTCAATAATAATAGTATTAATACAGTTTCTTTTTCCATCTACTTCCCTTTTTATGAGATTTTCATCAAAAAATGGCAAAAAAAGGGATTGCAATTTTCAGCACAGGCCACCCATCATGGACGGTTGTTGAAGAACTTCAGCGAGCAGTTGTTGCAAATCCTGAAGAGGTAGCTGTGGGCACCGATCCTAATATTGACTAACATGCCCTAAGCTACAACTATGCAAAGTTTGGTGCTTTTGTCCGCTCTGTATAGATCTCGCCAAAATTTTGCACTAAGCCACCGGACTATTGTTGGTATGTGCCGCGCCAAAGGGTATGTTTTGTTAGCTGTTTTGGTCTGAAATAGGGTATCATTTTCGACCATTTTGGTCTGATATAGGGTATGGTTTGTGTACTCTAGTCTTGAATTGGGTATGTTTTTTTAGAAGAATTAGCTACTTCTTCATCATTTGGCAATAAGACCATTTCCCTTTTAATGTTTACGCCCACTACCGTGTACGTGCCTTAGCTTGTCACGCGCTCCAGTCACGCGCCGGCTCCAGGGTTTCAGGTCTGAAATAGGGTAGGGAAAATCACAGATTTTGGTCTGAAATAGGGTAAGGGTTTCAAGAAGCGTGCCGCACACCCCCTCCCAATTTTTCTGGAAGTACCCCCCCGGAACTTTTGGGACACAAAAGGCAGGTCATTGTGCCAGGCGTTCCTTGCGTGGAAACTGGGACTAAGAATCTTTGCGTGATCGAAGCCACGAATGTTTTGCGAAGAAAGCTTGGGAAAGATTAAGTTTAGAGCTTTTCCGAAACGTGTCAGTCCACGAATTCTATCGCTTGAAAGCGTTGATTACTTTGGAGCAAGTGAATACTACTGAGTGGTCGAAAAAAAATAAGAATCTTAATTAGCAAAATTACGATGGTCGGGTGTCGCTTTCACTGTATGCAAATGAGTCTTGTGATGAGCATGTGATTTACTTTTTTCGGCGATTGAAATGACGTGCCATGTGAATCACTTTTTCGAAATCTGGCAATGATGTAATTTCTCTGGAATCGAGGCCCTTGAATTTTCGTGTACTTACGCGTATAGGCTGCTACCGCAGAGGAATTTTTGGTCGTCGCTAACACGCATACTAAATCAATTCAGAAACAAATAGAAAGTATCGATAAAGTAGGAAGTAAAAATCCTTTAGCGAGTAAATCATGTTTCTTGTAGAATTAATCGCCTCCTCATTTCTCGGTCTAATTCTCAAGCAGGCGAGACCTGAATGCCGCTGTAAGCGTGTTCTTGTATAAGCACAACGCAGGTACGTTCAGGCTTGCTGACTATGAGAGTTACGAACGCTATCCCGAATGACTCTAACGAATTTCCTGTTGTTAACCAAAGTGGAATAAACAATCCTATAAGAAAACCAATGAAAGCTTGACAGCTAAATCCACAAGGCTCTACCTTAAAAACCCAAACAGGAACTCTAATGTAGGTAATAATCAAGGTCAGCGATGGTCCCAAAACGCACCCACTTTAAAGACTGACAATCAAACTTAATTAAACCCCAAGCTTAATGACACTTATGTCGACAAACCTATTAAAAAGATAATAACGCTCAAAAACCTGTTAACACATATATGTATATCGCTTAACGTTGATCTTCAAATCCAAATATAACGAGACCCTAAGCACGAGCGAACGCTCAAGAACGAACAAACTTGACGTCATCAAGAATCCTTATGATAATGACGTCAAAAAAACAACCACTACTTCATAACACGTTTTACAAATGAAGGGGAAAAAGTCAGAGAAGGATAATATTATTTCTATTAGACGGATGAATAATTACAGCTGACGTCTAATGACTGAATGCGAATTATATTGAGTCAGTCGTGTTTAGAGAACATGAAGGATGATATGTATATTTTTAAGTGTTGAAAAGGTGTATAGGTTTATATAAAACAATGGGTTTAAAGAACAAGTTAGAACAATTTTACAAGCTCGGTGACTCGATCGGTGGCCTGTCCGCTAGTCGAGAGTAGAGTCTTGCAAAATTAAACAAACGACTTAAGGTGTATGTTCAGTAGCTCGGAGGCTTGGCGGTACAGTGTCTCTTTAGTCTTTTGAATAACTGACGAACGACCGATCCATAACAAGAAATTGCCACTTGAAATGATTTATTCTAAAAGGGTATCCAATATTAACCTGTATTATGTTGTTGTCGTTTTTTTTTCACTCCATATATTATTTAATTTTTTCATCCGTCTTACAGGTCAAGTTTCAGTACGAAACGTTTTTAATTCAAGATTTGGTACGGCTGGTGGCGCGAATTTGAGAGAAGGGCAAAAAGGAAAAATGTGTTGGTTTGGCGATGGAAGAAAACATTTGATCTCCCTGAAACCTTGACGAACGTGTATAATGACATGGGCTTAGTCATCTCGTCTTTAACTGGTGTAAAATGTGCCGTCGCTGGGTGCCTGAGTTAAAACCCCTGCGAAATACTGTATTGCCTAAGTACCAATAAGTCCATGCAATAAGGTAATTCGTAATAATGTGGAAAAGGGAGGGTTCTCATTTGAACGAATAACCCGTTTGACTTTACCGATTCAGAACAGGAGATCTGACTACTGAACCATGCCTTTGCTGTTCCGTTTTACAAATGAAAGGGGAAAAAAAACAGATATTGATAATATTATTTGTATTTGACAGATGAATAACTACAGCTGACGTCCAATGACTGAATGCGAATTATAATGAGTCAGTGTTTAGAGAACAAGAAGGATGATGTTTATTTTTAAGTGCTGAAAAGGTATATAGGTTTATATATAACTATAGGTTTTAAAGAACAAGTTAGAAAAATTTTACTGGCTCGGTGACTCGATCGGTGGCCTCTCCGCCAGTCGAGAGTAGAGTCTTGCAAAACAAACTACTTAAGGTATATGTTCAGTAGCTCGGAGGCTCGGCGGTTCAGACTCAGTCTTTTGAATAGCTGGCGAACGACCGATCCATAAAAAGAAATTGCCAGGCACTTGAAATAATTCATTCTAAAAAGGGTATCCAGCGTTAGTTTGTATTCTGTTGATGTAGTTTTATTTTTTTCACTCCCTAAATTATTAAATTTTTTCATTCGTCTTACAGGTCAAGTTTCAGTACAGGAACGTTTTTAATTCACGATTTGTTACGACTGGTGGCGGGAATTTGAGAAGAGGGCAACAAAACAAATGTATTGGTTTGGCAATGGAAGAAAACATTTGATCTCACTGAAACCTTGACGAACGTCATAATGACAAGGGCTTAGTCATCTCGTCTTTAATGCATGTAAAATGTGCCGTAGAGTTTCGCCGAGGTCGTTCAAGTATTTCATTTTTTCATCAGTCATTTTTACTGCACTATTGATATACAGCTTTGGAATAAGCTGGGACGTAGTATACACGGCTGACTCCAAGTTCGCCAAGGACTCAAATACGTTCAAAGTGAGCAGCTGGCAGAGTTGGCAAAACGACCGTTTAGGAGACAGCATGAGAACACTATCTGATCTTTATGAGAACGTTATGACCAAAACTGCGGCTAAACGGAAGCACAGGATAAATGGCTCTGCTATAGGCTCAGTCAACAGGCACTCATCTCGGGATGAATACTGGAGGTTTCGCAATGGAGGCGTTAAAGATCAAAATACACCTGAAAATACCACCGGAGGGAGCTTGAAACTGACTTTGAAAGCCTATAGTGCTATAACAAGTCCAACTTTGTCGAAAAAGCGTACGCGAACTTTCACGGACGTGAATTCAGCCAAGGGCAAACTAAACTCATCAGTTTATGGTGAAGTAGGCTGCCCTGATAACCCGTGGAGGAAGGCGTTAAATAAGCTTCTTCGACACTGGATCCAAATTTCTAAACAAAACAATATAGAGTATGTTTTGGCGTGTGGTAGTCTCCTAGGAGCGATGCGAGATGGTGATGTCATTCCTTATGATTCAGACATCGATATTCTCGTCGATCAAAATTATTTCTCGATCTTTAAAAGGTTGTCTTCAAAGAGAGACTTTAGTACTTCAGATGAAAAGATTCGGCTGGTTGTTCAGCCAGAATTTACCTTAAACATACCAGTGGAAGTGAGGAAGCGTTTTACCTGCCAGGGAGAGGTTCGTATCTATTTTGTACTTAAATTTTTTATTCAGCTATTAGAGTTTTAATCGGATTTATTTAGTTTCATTTATTTTATTTTCAGTTTTATTTATTTTAGTTTCATTTGGCGTGGGATTCCCAGACAACTTCCAAAATAAGTGTGAAATAAAACAAAGTCGACGATAGAGCGCCGACATTTATTTATTGGAAAAGGAGTCATAATTATTTCGTTTTGGCGTGCAGTTTCCGGATGTACCTAATAAACATGCACTCAAAGAAAACGAGATATAAAATGTTCGAACGGTATTAGAAGTACAGATTCGAGTACGACTGGCACAAGAGGTCGCAACTGGTTACTGGTCGATACTGGAGCGGCCGCTTTAGCGAAAGACACAGTCCACCTCTTATTATCTTTCAAACTGGCTTTCACAATGCTGGTCTTAACTTAGTTAACTGGAGCTGGTTGCTTACCAGAGTGGTCGCAAAGACAGCTTGTGTACAGCAGCCGAATCCACAAGGAAGCATTTCAAGCTGTTGTATTACTACTAAGAAGATAGAGCAAAATATAAATTGAGAGGAGAAAAGCAACTAGATACAGACAACTGAGGCTCTGCATGAGGGGAAAAAGGAGAAAAAAAATCGACGTGGGCGAAATAAAAAATCGGCGAGGAGAGCGATCCTATTTTACCCGGTTTTTTGCCTTTTTTCCCCATTGCAGAGCCTGGCCTTCCAGGCTATCACCACCACCACCAACACCACCACCACCACCATCATCTTCATCATCATCATCATTATTTTTTTTTTCTGTTGTTGTTGTTTTTTGGAATAATTCAATCTCAAGCAGCCAATTGTAAATTGCCTAAACGTAGCGAGATTTACAATTGTAGATTCAAAAACACAAATATAGTTTCCATTTTTATTATTGTCGTTATCATAGAGTTCGGTTCCTGCTGCAAATTTGGATTTTTTTTCCCAGCATTACATCATTTTACTCTCCATTTAATTTCTATTTCAGTTTCATCGCATTGGGTTATTTCTTGGTTTGTTCAATGTGTACATGTTACATGTCAAATCTGATTTCAGGTTAATTTTAAATTAACCCAGGTTGATTCTCAATTTCCTTTGTCTCCTAGCCCTAATTATTCACGAATTAGAGCTAGAAGACAGAGGAAATTGGGAATTAACCTAGCCGTTAAAAAAAATTTAACCTGAAATCAAAACTAACCTGTAACATACACATCACTTACTAATATTCTTGAAAGGTGCATGTCATTATTACCGACACTAAGTAATCTACGTTTTGATAACTAGTCTGAGCGCGATCCCCCTCTCAAGTTGAGCTCTAACCCAATTTTCCTACTTTTATGTAACTTGGCACTTGAGATAATCGCGAAATAACCGACCATAGGGACCTTAAATAACCATCTTTCTCTAAGCCATTTTGCACCTGTGTCAATTACAGAAAAAAATGTAAACAATTTTAATGTATATTTTGCAGTTAATTTCTTATGTCAGTTAAGGTGGCTCTGAGCCCGCAACATTGAATAAGCCATTGTTTAGCCTGATGACCGTTGAAGTAACCACCGCGGTCAAACGTCTAAATCGTTATTTTTGTTTTTTATTGCTGGGATTTCATTTACCAGTTACAGAAAAATGGGCAAAGATGTATAAATCAGTTAGTCAACATAGCTATCTTTCCATTTTTCTCAAAATTTTGAGCTTTTTTCGCTGAAAACGCTTCGCGCTAAAAGAGAATCTTGTTTGAAAATGGCGCCGATAATAACGTCAGCATCGGTTTTCAATCACTTAGAACTTTTTTAGTAAATTTTTAAAAAGTTTAGTAAACTAGCAGGATGTTGGTAATACCCTAAACTTTTGATAGTGAAAGTAGCAACCTTAACTTTGAAGTATTTCGCTTAACTTTTGCAAATTTCACTCGTTTGACCGCTGTGAAGTTGAAGTATGGGCCCCCATGCACTATTTACCGTGAGAGCATGGTGTCTAGCTCTAGACCTATGCACATCTTGGCCCTTCGGCCTATGGTATTACCACTTATATTGCCTTCGACACCCTCCTCCTCCTCCTCCACCCGTCCCACTTACAAATTTGTTACTTAAGTGCTGATTAATTAATTTAAACTACAATTGTTATTTATACCTAAACTGCATTTGCGCTTCTTTTCCACAGGAAACTCCTACAATGGAAGACCAATGTTCTTTTCAAGAACCCATGGCAAGACTAATTAAAGGCAATAATCACATTGACTTTTACCATTTTTACAACAAAGTGGATGTAGTTGACGATCCTTGCGAGGATAGGCTTAAGCAGTACCATAAGAAAGATTTCTATCCATTTCGACCGTGTAGCTTTATGGGATTGCAGGCATCGTGTCCAAATAATTCTTGGGAAGTACTACGTATATATTTTAACAGTGACAACTTGGAACCTATCTACAAGTGCAAAAATGGTACTTGGGTTGATAAAGGTGGTTTAACGGCAAAGCTTTGAATAACGACGGCTACTACTATTACTACACTACGAAACTAAATTAAAATTTGTTACAATTTTTTTAGTAATGATTTACGTAATAAACTGTTATCAAATCATACTAATGACACTTGATTGACCATTGTAATCACTGCATTGTAATCATTGTTTTTTTAAATTGGCCTATTATCCCTATTAATTGTTAGTATAACTAATCTTAAAGCTTTTGCAATAATGTAACTGTAACTTCATATAGTCATGCAAATAAACAGGGGCACCCAACGGCAATTTTCGGGAAAATATCTGTTCGGAAGACGATTTGAGATCTAGAATTTTCGGAGCATTTGTTGTAAAATTTCTTGCTTGCCTGCCGCTCCTAGGATTTTCGAACATCTACAAAATGGTATAATTACCCATTTTTAACGGATTTTGACCCTAAAAAAGACCACCTAGAATTTTCGGGAGCCTTTTCCTGGCTGAAATTTTCGAGAAGGTAAGTTTTTATCCCTATAATTTTCGGATCACTAGACTTTCAGCTAGGAAATCCGAACAGATGAAAAGTTTTTAGGGGATAAAAATATGCCTATATCTACCGTTTGAATACTAAAATACGTTCAACATTGCTATGTTAAGTGGTTTTGAACTATATCCTCGTTGGGTGCCCCTGAAATAAAGCTTAAGTTGTTGTTGTTACTGACGTCCCTTCCGAACTCAAACACTCTCAAGTTAAATGGGCCACTCAGAGGTCAATAAATCCTCACTAGTCTCCAAAATAACGAGGACAAGCGAAAAACTTAGCAAGGGGAAGAAGTGTCGAACTAAAACCAACAACCAAAAACAACAGCGTTTACAGTACTGAGAAGAGTATTGTTTGAACCAAAGCCCGGACCATGGGGGGAGTGGAAGGAGGAGAGGGGGGTACTACGGGGTTAAAGTTACGGAGACAAACAGAGGAATTTGTTTGGCGGGGGGGTAGGAAGACTTGTTTGGGGATAGGAAAATTGGGCAAATATTAAGATATATTTATACATTTTTTGGCAGCTTGATTTAAGTAGGAATTTCGAGGGGTGTTCAAAACAATCGGGTGCGCACAATGCTGGCCTCGCAGTTCAGACTGCCAGGTGAGAAAAAGAAAAATTCAGCAGATTGTAAGATGAATAAAAAAACAACAAACATTTATTTTCCGGTCCTAGTTATTATTATTTTTTTGGTTTTTGTTGCGGATCAGACGTCTGCGATAATAAATCTGCCTGGTAAGAAAAAAAAGAGAAGTACATAAAAAGAGAGTGTATTTTTACGGTGACTGACTTTGCTTGTTATAAATACATGCAAGTTGTGTGTATTTCTTTACAAACAGCAAATGGCAGGAGCCTATGATGGCTGATGTAAAATTAGAAACCGACATTGTGGAAAATAGTGAAAAAGAAAACAACTCACTGTCAATACATTTTATGTTATCAACTTCCCCTTACTGCGAACGTCATGTTTTGTACATTAACGATTTATGTTATGTAAATTCCTTGGGTCTTGGCTGAAGCGGGGTTTCACTACAATACGCCATTGGATGCCTGTTACTTGACACAACGACTGTTGTTTTGAAATAAATTCAGTTTCGGACTTCAGTACATTTTTTTCCGACTTGTTACGTGCTTAAAACATGGTTCGAGTTATCGAGGATAAAATTATGCAGAAATGATCTGAACGGCAACAAAAATTACTTCGAGTTAGCGAGGGTAACATTACAGTAACTGTATGAAGAATAGGGAAATCCACTAGAGTAAGCGGAATGTTCGATTTAGCGAGGGTTTGAGCAAGCGAGATTAGAAAGATAGATTTCGCACGAGAAGGAGCCGATTACTCCTGGCACGAGAGGCACTACATTTTACAGACCACAAAAGGTGCCTATATAACATCTGCCTTTATTCTAACATTATATGTAACTTGATATTTGAATTAGCGACGAGCTTCACGATATGTAATTCCTCAGATTCCTTCGTTGTTGCCTAAAAATTACAATGCGTTAGTAAACTTGGATACCATTTCACTCCGAATTTACATGTTTTTTTAAGTGTGCCACTATAAACAAACGTCGAGAATCAAACTGGTGAAGTAGGTCTGCTGAGAGTGTAGCGAGCAGCAATGAAACTTATTTGTTTATTTTTATCGAAATTTAGCTTTAAAAATCTCATATAATGTGAATTAGATGTCAAATTCGAAAACTGATGCAATATGCGAGGAAGACGTTCGAGGCATCTGAAAACACGCGAGGGATCACGCGAGTGAGAAAACACATAAAGAAAAAGAATTGGACGGTTATACTGTATACACGACTCCTTCAGGTTGCAAAGAATCCTCTGTCGACCTACATTGCTTCATTCTCACTAAAAGGTTCTTAAGGATTTTTTCTCTTGCGATAAAGGAAGGAATGGGAGCTCCTTAAAAGTTCTCTTAGATATTTTTAGTTCTGCTTAAGGTGCCATTTCGTCATTATTAATTTCTTTAGGCTGGATAAAGCAGGGTGGTATCGCCGTGTAAAAAAAGTAATCTTTTACGTGCAGGTTTTTTCCTCTATTGGAAGGCTGTTATCCTGTTGGCATGCAATGTAACTGACCACAGAAATGTACTTTCTCGCCCCTGGGTACGTAGCCTCTGTTTCATTAGGCGTTTTTGGACGTTTTCTGTCCTCAAAAGTGGTTCGAAAGGAATTTTTCTAATGTCATTCCTGAGAGCTTAGGTCTCTGTGAGTTTTCAGGCGTTTTCACGTCCAAGATGGAATCGTTACTAACACCTTTGTACACGTGGGCATCTCAACCGAGACTAAAAATAATAATTATTTAAAAGTTTTTAAACGCGTAAGTATAATAATAATAATGATGATGAAACATTTGTATAGCGGATACACAGCAGCTCTATGCGCTTTACACAATATTCACACGATTGTAAAAATTAAAAATTAAAATTAAAACTAATACTTGAAAGCGATATCAAAAATATGTCTTAAGCTTAAGAGTGTCACTAGATCTTAATGTCATCAGGTAACTGATTCCAAAGCTCAGGGGTGGATATGGCGAAAGCCTTATTACCATAGGGTAGAAAATGATCGAAACATATGTGCTGGGCAATAAGGAGTAAGGAGGTCTTTGATGTAGGACGGCGATAGGTCGTGGAGACCTTTGGAGGTTAAAAGAAGAATTTTGAATTTAATGCGTTCAGCAATGGGGAGCCAATGAAGATCCTTCAATAGTGGTGTTACGTGATCGAATTTTGAAGATGTCACCAGGCGCGCAGCAGCATTCTGAACAGACTGTAGTTTCAGCAGTGGATGTTTAGAAATGCCTACATAAACCTAACTTCGAGGAGACAAGGGCGTAGACGAGGAAGTCAGTAATCTTGGGAGTTAAATACTTTGGCTAATGCGAGCAACGTTCAGCAGTTGATAGGAATGCTGACTTACAGACGGAGATAACCTTAGCTTAACCTGAGGTATCATAGAATGAGAACAGTCAAAAATCATGATAGTACCAATGTCTCTGACGATGATGTGTCTACTCAGTAAAGTCGAACCTCCACTAACGGCATACAGTCCATACATTAACTCCTTTTTAAACCTGTCTACTAAAGCCAACCTCTCGACAACGGCCAGTTTGGTTTCGAATTTGATTGTGTCCCATTTATACCGCTACAGTAAGCACAAATTGACTATAATACTTGTTCGTTTTGTCACGTTAACATTTTGATTCAAAACATTATTCAAGTTTTTTATGTCGGATTTTTATCTCTCTGTATATTTTTTGTATAACTGGATTAACATGATGGGATAAATTATTAAAGGAAGAACGTAGCACAATAAAAAGAATTCATGTTGTCATACTACAGACACCCCTACCTCCCCATAACGGCCACTTCTTGTCCGTTGTCAGAGCAGAGAGGTTCGACAACCTCGTTCCCAGGGTTCTCTCCATGTTTGTTCAGTCGTGCGTCGCAGCATGCCTGCCTCGCACATGCCTTTTTAGCTCGCTGGCTCGCATATTAGACCCATGATGTATACACTCAAATTTTTTCCCTTAAGGGCGTAGATTGTAAGAAAGAACAAGAAAGATAGTATGTGAACCATCACGGCAATTGCTTTTATAACGTCCTCACTGATTAGCAGCCATCGTGTACACTGGCGCTTCTGTGAGAATCGTAGGTCATTTACAACGGATGGTACATGACACACAAGGTTTTTACTAGAAAATGACATTAACGAAATATGACACTTAAAAGCGTCCTACGAAGATTACCCATGTAAAGGCACCATGAGGCACCACAGGTAGCCCAAGCTCGAAATATGAGCATCGGCGGGCATCGGCATTGTTGCGTAACATTCAAAATATAAGGATTTGTATTGGAAAAAAACCTATCGTTTCTGTAACCTACAAAATGAAAGGATTTCAATAAAAAAACAGCTTACCTTACTTAAAATGTGTGTTACGTCTCTCCTGTGTGGTCCACGGGCCGATTTATGACCGTTTTATGGGTTAAATCGTAAACGTATAAAACACGGACTGGGGACTACGGACTGCGGACTGGGTATAAAATACGGACTAGGGTATAAAATACGGACTAGGTATAAAACGCGGATTGCGGACTGCGGACTGGGTATAAAATACGAACTACGGACTACTTTGGTAAAGCGGTGCTAATTGGTTCTAGGTTAGGAAAAATAAGATCAAAAGATCGCTAAATAGCAAGACACTCGATATGAGTTAAAGTTGTAAATACTCCTAATAAATTCTTGGTGGAGGTGTGCCGCCCGGTTCTCTGAATCATGAGCCGGATCAAAATGCTATTTTCTTCACCCATTTTTAGACCTTGTCTCGGTCTCTAACAATCATGAAAGGGGTCAGGATCAGGGGGGTACTCCCTTATAAAAGGGAAGGGTAGGGGTTTAGGGCCTTTTTGTCTGAAAACACTTTGCCGATTTTGGTCTGGAATCGGGTATGGTTTTCGAGGGAACTACGGGAGCGTACATGAATGGA